GAAAATGAATACATCAATGTGTACTTATTGAGTGGGAAATCACAAAACAATGCTTGAGAAAGACATCCCCCCTTAAAAATTGATAGTCCTTTGTTTTCCTTCTTTTTCTTTTTCTCCTTTTACAAAGTACTCCGATTGCTTTAAAAAGACAATGAATGGTATAACACTTGCAAAACTGTACCCTAGATATTTTCTGAGCAATAGCCAATAAATTCATTGTCATGCAATTGCCAGGGTTACACTTTTTTGACAGGATTACATAATACCTGGTACATGTATCTTATCGTAACAATTATAAGTCAATATTAATTAACAGTTAGTTATGATCATCTGATTATCAGTCAAAATATTTATCCGAAAAGATAACACAATCAAATATGTATCATAACATATAATGTATTACAAATAGGAATACATTATCAGTATACTCATACAATCCAAGCATGTAAATTTATGTTCGATTGTAATTGTTTACCATTTACATTTAAAACTTTTATGATAGAATCTAGGTAGCAGAATCAGATACTTCTAGACATCTGTTTGGAGCCAGAAGGGCATTAACTCTGTGTCAAAGTATAGGTATAACATCCTTTCTGCTCCAGACAGACAGAGTATAACACAAACAGGTTCAAATTGACCACAACAAGGAGGGAATACATGCTGCATATATGCCACCGGGCATGGTGGCTCAGTGGTTAGAGCGCCCGCCTCATGAACGGGAGGTCGTGGGTGCGAACCCCGGCCGAGTCATACCAAAGACTTATAACAATGGGACCTTCTTGCTCCAAACAGACGACATGTACAAATTCTATGACCGATAGAAAGAACACAACACCAGATTTTATGAATGGGTCTAGCATATATAATTCACACCCTATAAACATACTGCTTTCAAATCACCATGTACATGCAGACTATCTTCATTTGAACACTGGAATACAAAATGATAGATAACTACTCTGTGTACAAGTACATAAGTTTGCCACTTTATCCGCAATCCATGTCAGCTAAAATCCTAGATTATAAAACAGCACACATATGGATTTCAAAGATCCACTGGTTTCAAAATGATCATTTGATAGGTTTGTATTGGATCTTACAATGTATCTCCCTACCCCTTGAATGGCAAAGAATAAATTTACCCTTAATACAAATACCAAGAGACACCCGGACTAAATATTACTAACCACACAAAATGAACCCTGGAATACTGGATAGCACAAACAGACATTGGGGGAAAATACAAAAAGTTTACAGGTAAATGTGGGTATAATAAAGCAACAAATAAAACATCATTACGATACACTGCACACTTGAACAAATCAGCATTTTACACACCATTTCAGAGGACTTAAAATACAGCACAATTAAACTGGAACAGTAACACTTGAGAATACACTTCAGCAACAGCTTGAATACAATAGTTCCATGAATTCAACCCTTCATATTATCTGCTGAGAGCCAGGACGTTAGTTCTACATAAAAATGTTAAAAGAAGATTCATCTGTCACTCAGAGGACGAATTCTACTTTTCCAATGCGCCATTTTCATAAGGTAATCAAGTTTAATGCATGTCTTTGTTAAGTGCTTCAGTGCAAATTATTCCATTCGCTTGTTTCAAATAACTGTATTTCAATAGTCAGAATGCTAATTGCAAACATTACGTGTTGCTAGGTAGGACAAGCATTATGGCTTCATTGCCTTACCTAACACGTAATGTATGCAATTCACATTTTGAGTACTGAAAAACAATTATTTGTAACAAGTGAATGAAAAAAATTGTAACGTGGCACTTCAATAACAAAAGCTTATGCATTGAATTTGATTACATTAAGAAAATAGTCTATTCAGAGGGCCGGGGAACTCACAGAGATATCGCAGAGATATGGTTTACTTTTCAGTGAAATATTTACAATTTATAAAATGGAATAAAAGTTAAAACTTAGCACATGCAAGGTTTTCGTAAATACTTCAGCCACTTCATAATTAGCACAGGAGTACATAATGATATATTTCACAAGACATTAGCATTTCAAACATAACATAAAACTTTGGAACTTGGAATATTGTAACACTAACAATCATAACAGAAATTTATGATTCATTGCTACAGCATGGAGAGCAAGCTAATGCAAAATATGTTATGTTTTTTCCAACCATAGCTAAATATTATATCATTTCAAAAGCATACAGCCACAAAATTTGTCAAAATGTGGCATAATGTATGATGGGGAAGCCAGAACCAGGTACTTCCGATGTTCCATAGGTAGTACTGAGGGAATATATTCCAATCTACCATTGCATAGATTTGATTGTTCTTGTCTTGTTTTAATTTCAATCTTATTGAACTATGGGGCAGAAAGAAAAAATTGAAATTAAAGTAAGCATTCCAAGGAAATATTGAATAAATATTTTCGTGAATTTCGTGATTGGTTGTTTCTACATAAAGTCAAAGAAATTGCCAGAAGTATAAGAGTCTTACAGACATATTTGGGATGAAATCAGACATGATTCTACAAATACATGTTTAAAGGGTATCCTTTCGTAGCACAGATGTGTAGTACATTAATAAGACCAAACTGCTACGCCGGTTTACATAAAACGATATAGCATGAGACAAAACAATTAATAAAACAATAAATTACAAACCCTAAAGCAAATTGAAGACTTAATGTTGCAAGATTGTACTACATGTAAGTAGGACCATCTGCATTAAAATGTTATATGCTCTATTGCTCTTGTGAATTTTCTACTGTTCATCATAGTCAATCCATTTTATGTCATTGATTTCAGTTTTACCATTTGCATATCATTTACAAGGTACATTTAAAACAAGAAAAATTAAAACTTGATTAAAAATCATGATTTATAACCTAAACCATCAAAAACAAAGCACATAGTTTACCTGAGATAATTAAAATTATACAATTGTATAGCATAGATGTCATTATCTAATACTTGGCCATCTTATATGAGGGAATACAAAGTACTGTGAATTTAGCTCTAAAAATTGAACAAAATTTTAGCTAAAAACTAGACTCCAAGTCTCTAATACATGTATATGATATACACAGTGTAACATTTCTAAAAAAATATCTATCATGTTTGTTTTGATTTTTCAACGAAAGGGAATCTATTCCTTTTCTTTTGTCAAACTGAATACAAATATCATTTTGAAAGAGGAATGTAGAATTGAATTATGGTAAATAACACTTGAGTAAAAAGATAAAATTATGCAAAAATATATATTACATAACAAAAGGATGCGTCTGGAAGAATGGACAAAGACTGATGTTGTATACTAAAATGATTAACTAGACTTCTTAAGAAACAGATGGTACAACTTAAAAGATGCATTATCTATCTTCCATAATACCAAACAATAAATCAATGTAAATACATAAGCTGAAGCATAATTTATCTGCCGCATTAGATAAACCCTGAATTGAATATCCATTTCTTGTGTTACCTTTTGCACAATATTGGTTTGGGGCATAGTGCATTTTTGCATATATCAATTCAGAACCTCTGAATGGTATTAAAAAGAAACTAACATACAGTTTATATATGACTTTAACTATAAATTGTGAGGATACAAAGAAATTAATCCATCACTGAAATAACCAGTTATTTCTGAAACATTTAACTCAGATAACAGGTAAATGGTATATATTCCATGTATGCACTTGTGTATTTATGAAACAGCCCCTACTTGTACTTCGTTCACATATGTCTTTGTGAACCACCAGGCAAATTTAAGTAGTGCACTTCACATTTGTCTTTGTCATAAAGCATTAAGATAAATTAGAATGTGTGACCTTTGTTGTATGTAGCAACTTTTTTAAACCCTACTCGTCATTCAGTTTATATGTAAGAAAAAGAAGAAGAAGATGAGGTTTACTGCATCATTTGTGAATAGGCCTTTACTGTCAATGAATACAAGTTTTCCCTATTCATCTTCATCCTCTTCCTCTGCCCTCCCCCCTTCTCTCAAGTACCCTACTTCCATAAAGTTTATAAATTGAATTACAAGCCAAAACTTTGCATCTTAAACAGAGATGTACAGTCGAATACCAAGCACTATCACCAAGCCTTTCAAAAAAACCTCAGGTAATATCCATAGCCTTGTGCATAAACTATTAGAAGGGGCAAACATGACTATATAAACATGTTATATAATCTGAATATGATTTCTAAAGGCAATATAAATATATGCTGAAAATGGTAAATTTCTTGAAAGTCTTTGCTACCATGGTAAACATATATAACACATGCTTGAAGTGAACTGGACACTGTATGGGCGGAATGTTTAAAGGTAAATGAAAGTAGGTACAAATGAAAGATTTGGGTAGGTCAAAGTGGCAAAGGGCACGAGGAATTCAATAATGTATAGGCATGATGAACGAAGCATAAGTCTTATCCATCATGTAACAATTTAGTGATGGAAGTAGAGGAATGCCTCATACATTTGTGAAAGCTAAATAAATTACTTAAGTAAATAATTTTTTAGTAATGGATAACTTAAAGATAAAGACCAGTTATGGTCATGCGATTACATTGTGAAAGAAAGGTTGTGGAATCGATCAGAAAGAATTGATCATCTAGCATATAAGTATTGGTGTGTACTGCAAAGTTCCGGAATCATCAAAATGATAAGAAATTTGGCCCAGTCTTGGTAAAGTTACAAGCACTGTGTACAAAAAGATGTACCGGTATATGGGACTACACGGACATGTGGCATAAAAATCTGTCCCTTTCACCCTTGCATAATACAATGATAACGGCCACAAATTGTTTTTCACCTCTTCCCAGAAATCAACCTTCTCTTTAAAGAGATTAATGATCTGCTGTAGAGAAGCAGGGTGACACATACTTGTAAACATCATAAATTTCTTGAATCTAAAATGTTTTCACCTTATGTCTTGTGAATTTTGCCCCCGTTCACACTTTCACAAGTTTCAGGGGAATATATCCAAAATCATTTTTTGGGGAGTCTGATATTTTTTTGTTAATTTACTTAATCTGTTTCTTCTTTAATACCAAACATGAAGAATTTCTATATGAACCACAAAGCTACAATGTATTGTGCACTAATGCTGGGGCAGCATAAGTAATGGTTACTATCTATATATTCAAAACATCATCATTCTCATTAGAATAAGAATACAATAATTCATCAATTTATAGGAATATGAATTATGACATCAACAAAGAGATGAAAGGTATTTTTAGATATAAATTCTTTGGTAAAAGTGAAGGAAATTGAAAGGAATGGTAACTGGAAACAATACAAACAAACACTGCATGTTTAAGCCTTCATGATATCATGTCTAAACCTAATTTTCCTGTCTGTAGGAAATTCTGATACTCTACATACTCTGTGAGGTCTATCAAAATTAAATTAATTTTGTTAGTGTCACATACAAATACTTCCTTTCAATGATATCTTGGTTTTGCATAGTCTATTCAATTCCCCAAAATTATCTTTTTATGTGTAAATAAACGTACATCCTAGATCTTAGTGGGAAACACACAGGAGGGGAAAAGGGGCCTATAATTTAGCCCATATATGGTATCATATTAAAAATTAAGCATATTAAATTATAGTGTGCAATATTTTAATAGTAATATATAATACATGTAAAATTAGGCATGTGCAGGGAAAAACCACTTTATGAAAACAAATTTTCATTTGAAGACAAATAGGAGAGAATTATATACAATTTGGAAGATATGATATAAGGATAAATAGTCTATAAATAGTACAGCAGATAGGAGGACATGGTTTTTACTGTAAAGATATGGAATTGATCAGGCTTTTCATGAGGTTAAAATCCAATTTTCTGGGCTGAGTCCGTCCTCCTCACTTGGAATAGATGAAGGAGTTAGGTTGGTTCGCACCTCCACTCCTGAAACCTGAGGGGTAGAGAGACAGAGAGAAAGAGAGAAGGGGGAAGAGAGAAGGGGGAAGAGAGAAGGGGAGGGGAGAAGGGGGAGGGGAGAAGGGGGAGGGTAGGAGGGGGAAGAGAGAAGGGGAAGAGAGAAGGGGGAAGAGAGAAGGGGGAAGAGAGAAGGGGGAGAGGGAAGGGGAAAGAGAGAAGGGGGAAGAGAGAAGGGGGAAGAGAGAAGGGGGAAGAGAGAAGGGGGAAGAGAGAAGGGGAAGAGAGAAGGGGGGAAGAGAGAAGGGGGAAGAGAGAAGGGGGAAGAGAGAAGGGGGAGAGGGAAGGGGAAAGAGAGAAGGGGGAAGAGAGAAGGGGGAAGAGAGAAGGGGGAAGAGAGAAGGGGGAAGAGAGAAGGGGAAGAGAGAAGGGGGAAGAGAGAAGGGAAAGAGAGAAGGGAAAGAGAGAAGGGGAAGAGAGAAGGGGAAGAGAGAAGGGGAAGAGAGAAGGGGGAAGAGAGAAGGGGGAGAGGGAAGGGAAAGAGAGAAGGGGGAAGAGAGAAGGGGGAAGAGAGAAGGGGAGGGGAGAAGGGGAGGGGAGAAGGGGGAGGGGAGAAGGGGAGGGTAGGAGGGGGAAGAGAGAAGGGGAAGAGAGAAGGGGAAGAGAGAAGGGGGAAGAGAGAAGGGGGAGAGGGAAGGGGGAAGAGAGAAGGGGAGGGGAGAAGGGGGAGGGGAGAAGGGGGAGGGTAGGAGGGGGAAGAGAGAAGGGGGAGAGGGAAGGGGAAAGAGGGAAGGGGGAGAGAGAAGGGGGAAGAGAGAAGGGGAAGAGAGAAGGGGAAGAGAGAAGGGGGAAGAGAGAGAAGGGGGAGAGGGGAAGGGGAAAGAGGGAAGGGGGAAGAGAGAAGGGGGAGAGAGAAGGGGGAGAGAGAAGGGGGAAGAGAGAAGGGGAAGAGAGAAGGGGAAGAGAGAAGGGGAAGAGAGAAAGGGGGAAGAGAGAAGGGGGAGAGGGAAGGGGAAAGAGGGAAGGGGAAGAGAGAAGGGGGAGAGGGAAGGGGAAAGAGGGAAGGGGAAAGAGGGAAGGGGAAAGAGAGAAGGGGGAGAGAGAAGGGGAAAGAGAGAAGGGGGAGAGGGAAGGGGGAAGAGAGAAGGGGGAGAGAGAAGGGGAAAGAGAGAAGGGGGAAGAGAGAAGGGGGAGAGGGAAGGGGAAAAGAGGGAAGGGGGAAGAGAGAAGGGGGAAGAGAGAAGGGGGAAGAGAGAAGGGGGAGAGGAAGAAGCGGGAAAGGGAAGATAAAGAAGAAGAGAATGATAGAGGGGAAGAGAGAGGGAGAGAAGAGAAAGAAGAACTTGGTGAATACATGTACATTCCAACATTTAAAAAATTCTCACTATGCATTTGCAAAACTTGCACCATGAACCAGAGCAAAATAACACTGAGCTCCCATAGGAAATCTTTCTATTCAGATGCTCATTCGAAAAATGAAGAAAAAAAAATGAGAAATTCTAAAAATAGATTTGTTATGATGTCACACTTCACTACTCTATACAGTCAAACGTGCTTTGGTGACCACCTGTCTACAAAGATCAAATTTTTTGTTTCCCTTGAAACGGTTTCTCATTGAAACATGTACTGAACGAACCTGTCTACAAAGACCACCTGTCTACAAAAGGCACTTTTTGTGTTCCCCTTTGGCGGTCGCTATAGACAGGTTTGACAGTATACTTTTAGTCTATTTTTATATTGTGTAAATTATATTTTGTGTGTGTTAATTTGTCTATTCTTATACATGTACATTGATTATTCTGATTGTATGTTTTTATCTTGGTTTGGACCCCTTTGAAAAACAGCTTCTAGCTGACAAGGGCAATCCATCCCATGAGTGGGGAATAAATCAAATAAAAAATAAATAAATTTATTACAAAGAGTTGCGCTTGATTCGAATCAATCACAACTTAAATCAATCACAGCTGTGTTTTTGAGAGATAGAATTTGCGATTAATTTCAAGTTGCGATTAATTCCAATCAATCATAACTCTGTGGTCCAGTTCTTACCTTTTGGTCCAAACAGTTTTCCATAGCATGATTTACAAAAAGGATCCTTGTCGTGCTGTAATTGAAAAACAAATATGTTAATGTTAATCTTTTCAATTGGAGAGTTAAAAAAGGCAACCCAACCTTCGAAATTGTATGAAGCAACAAAAAAAAAAGCATAAAAAAAGAAAAACATAAAGGCAAAAGTTTGAAAAAGACAGAAAGTCACGACTGTTTAAAATATAAGGTCACTATATGAATATCAAATTCACAAATTGGTTAGTGGATTGTGGCATAGACATTGACATTACCAATTCAGCCAATGTGAAGCTCCCATATATAGTGCTTGAAACTTTCAACAATTTGTTCAAACTTTTCACCAGTCTTTGAACTCTGATTTTCTCCTTTCTCTTTATATAATTTGCTACTATGGTTGTTTTCTCCTTAAAAAAAACTCCATTTGTCCATCCTTTCTTTATATCTTAAGCCTGTTTCTGCATTGTGACTTTGCATCATCCCATTCCTGTCCTGATACATCAATAGATGTAATCACTATAATATCGTGTAGTCGGGGGGGGGGGGGGGGGGAGAGGAGGTTGGATGGGAAGAGGAACCTTTCAACAAAATTTAATTATATTCAAAGTGAAAGTCCATCCTGATATTAGAGTTGGTTTAAGTTGGACAGCAAAAATTTGAGCAAATTCCATTAAAAAAATTAGAAATTCAATATTTTTAAAGTTGCAATTATTAAACAAACACAAATTGGCCACTCTGTGACATATATCTTTTGTGAGGTACCCTCCCTTTTGCTCTGTAACTAAACAAAATCAGAAATTTGAATTTCCCTCAAGAAAATGTTCTATCATACATGATGCAACCCTAAATATTATTATTGCCCATGTGTTTCTATACAACCCTTTTATGGAGAAAAAAAAATAATCCGTCAAAAATAACTAATAATTAAAGTTTGTGAAATTTTAAGTACAGAGCAAATTGGAGAGGAGCTTGCAATTTAGGTCAAAGTGTTGCCAACTTGTGTTTGATTGATCGCAACTCAAAAAATTAATAACTTTCTGATTTTTGATTGGAAATTGATCAAACTGAACACTGACCTGTTCCTCTCATTTTCTACTTATATTCAAACCACCAACATAATTTTTTCATTTTCATTTCGTTTATTTCCATTTCCAACAAAATAAATAAAGAACATGGGATTGCATTGCACATAGTAAAACAATGAAACTTAGCAATATATTTGTAATTGGTCCACAGTGTACAATAGGCATATAAAACAGGTTGGTCATGGAGGGGACTGCTGAAAAGCTGGGCTTGTAGATTGCAGCCCCTATAACTTATAGTTGCACAAATAGTATATCAATAATAAAGGAATGCACAAATACATAAATTAAACCAATTATAATATCAGGGCTGACTTCCTCTTATGCTTATACCCTGTATAATGTACAGTACTGCACCTGAATACTGATTCAATAAACAATGCCACTGAATGTGACATCTGACACCTTTGACCTTTATGTTTGAAAAACAAATCCTATCCCTTCATCTCACATGGGGGGGGGGGGGGGGAGGCAAAGATACTTTGAAATATTTGGTTTCATGTTTACCTTTCAAGTAGAGATGTCAAAGTACTACAAAAAATGTCAAAGTACTACAAAAAATGTCAGACTAATGAGGCAGCTACTAAATCTGGTAGTTTACAGGTGCAAGGGCAAATGGATCCTTAAAATTTTAATGACAGTATGAATACCATAGTCAAATGACACAAGCACCAGCGACAGCTGCTTCTTAATGTATGTGACCAGCCTACTACAGGTTAGAAACTTGCACTTGGATTGGGAGAAGAACTTTTACAGTAAACTTTAGCCTTGGGGATGGTTATTTTTTTTTATTTTTTTTTTATTGATTTACAGTATGAAAATTGCATTGAACCTGCAAATTGTAAACCCAAAACTGCAGACAGATGGTCCATCAATTATGTGATTTTTCCTGTTTATCAACATTACAATTGGATACGAAAATGTCAAATCATTTTTCCTCATGATCAGCCACTTTAAATCCTTCAATTCTCACATCTCTCACAGTATGTCACTTTCTCCAATTTACATTGCCTCAAATTTCTGTCACTCCTGTCCCAGCTGGCAGACAGTTCTATTTTTCTATCTCTGTTTATATTGACCTCTGGTGACGTCATATTGCTTGTCAACACACCCTGAGAAGTTCCATGATTGGAAATTATGCCATCTCTACTTCTCTATCTCTCCCCTTTCCCTTTGGACCTTACCAAGTTCTCCCTTTTATCAGTCCTTCGAGCTTGAGCTCTCTTTTTATTTCTCTTTCTGCTCGTATTTCAATTGTGATGCTGCTCCTATTCTACTTTCATATTCACATTTATATTCATACCTGAATTTATTCATGATGTGATTCAGAATTGTATTTAAAACTCTTGCTATGTATAAGCCATATACATTGTACCGTAACTGTCTTGTTATGTTTTGTGCTGAAAGCTGGAGGACCGTACCTGCTCATAGACTTTTTCTTTATAGAGTCTTGACGCCCTTCTGGCTTTCAGCACACGACACCATGTTTTGTCTTATGTTTTACATATTACATGTTACACCAATGGAAAACAAATTTCTGAATTATATATGGACAATAAAATCTTGAATCTTGAATCTCTACTATCTGGTGCTTTGGAGATGAAAATCTGCCTGCACGATCAAGCACTTTGTGCGCACACAACTAATTCATCCCCTACTCATGCATTCTGAACTGGTGGAACAAAGATAATATTAAGATGATGATATTAATGGATATAAAATTCATACAAAGTCAAGTAATTATCCTCTGTAACATGTTAAGAATGTAAAAGATATTTTAAAGGGCTTCTTGATCTTTTTATTTAGGCTGAAGTAAGCTCTTTTGCAGGCATACTGTATCATTCAGGTGATTGTCACTGCTTTGAGCATTAAAACAGGTTTCATCAATAACATCAAACTATAGTTCTGTTCATTAGTGTCAACTTAATTGGCATGCAAGTGAACAGGAGCCTGAATTCACTTTATGGATCAACATACTATGATATAATAAATTGTACACAGAAAACCCTTCTTATACATGTAACTACAGTACTTGTCAATTTCCATACCCCCCCCCCTCTCTCTCTCTCTCTCTCTCTCTCTCTGTTTAGTCTTTATTACCCCCTCCTCTAACTTTTTGTTCTCATCTTCCCATTTGTTTACAAGCAGAATGTTTGTTATACTTATTGTAAGGCAGCATGCATCTAGCGCTGAGGTTTAGCAGGAAAAACACATGTTGTGAGCATGAGCTACGGTAGTTAGAAAAAATTACATTCATGACATTGTTACCATACAATACAGTTTACTTTTATCTAAAAATGCAAAATTCTTCTACTTTTTTTCTTCTAAAAGACGATATCAATACCGGTACTAATTTGAAATGAAGCCTTTTAATATGTTGATAATAAATACCACACAAGAGGAGAAAAGCAGACAAAACTAGATAATATAATATACTGTATATCCTACCTCAAGCTGTTCTCCAGCATTTAATCTCTTGTTACACTGATCATTAGAACATGTAAAGCAGATCTTGTGCCAATCTTTTCCGAGAGCCACCAGTTTCTCAGCTGAAAATACAAATCAAAAGAATTTTTTTTTCACAAAACGCAACTAGAATCTATAGATCTACATCTACATGTATATAAATAATGCACTGAGGTTGTAAAGTGACTACTGCAAGTAAAACTAAATAATTTTTTCACACAAATCACATTTTGTAAAAATTATGAAATGAATCTATTTGTTTGAAAATCAGTGAAAAATTGGTAGATCTACAATGCGTCCTAGAAAAAACGAAACCGAGAATTATTTATGTTTTTATCATAACTTAGTCGCATCTATAATTAATAAATGACACATATTTGGAAAGCTTAGATCCTCCTCTTTCATTTGATGCAACTCATATGATGCATATTTCATGCATGAGTGATTAAAATGAATTTGAAGAGAGGAAACCAAAAAGCGGGGATCTAAGCTTTACAAATATGTGTCATTTATCAATTATAATTGTGATTAAGTTATGATAAAACATAGATAATTCTCGGTTTCGTTTTTTCTGGGATACACTGTATATTGCATTATCATGAAATAAGAAACCACCATTCGCTCAAAAGTCCACTCAGACTCTCAGTAATGGCACTGCACACACATAAAAATAGAAAAATCAACAAACATTTCAGTATAAATTTCCAGGTTGTATCTTAAATATGACGAAAATGAAAACTTGTCAAACTACCTTTAAAGGATGCTGAGAAAATCGTAACAAATAGAGGGTATGACTGAAATATCATGATTTAAGTATCAGTTCAAACGGAAAATCACAAGCTTTCTCTTTGCACTAATATCTTAAAACATTGAGTCAATGGCAGCCAGCGATAGCCAATAAGAAGGGCCCTTGTAGGTGCCAATTTAGGAAAATGAGGCTGCAATTCGCCAAGATCGGTTGAAGGTTATATGCATGCGCTAAATGTAAGCTAAAGTTCTACATGGTGAGAGCAGATATACTAGGCTAGCAGATATCCTCAAAATTGTAAGTAAGAAGTAAGTGGTACCAACTGATTGCATGATATAATATTGCCTTGCAAATTACCTTATCTTTGATGGATCACATTTTTGTATAAATCGGCTGTAAACCACTGTGCGCGAAATAAGGTTTTATTGTTTTTTTGACTTTTTTAGTTGCAGAGCGCACGCCGATCCGACATCAAAATCAAATGTTTAGATCGCGATATCTCCAAAATCCTTTGACGATAAATTTTTTATTTGAACCAATTTGTAGTAATAAACTTGGCGCTAGTTCAGAAGTCTATCCAAACTTTGACCCTTAACTCAGGCGTGGAGATTTCATCAAATGTCCAAATAAAAATCATGATTTAAAAGTCGATATGTTTGTTAACTGTTTTGTGTCAATTTTCTTATCTTTTTTGGAGTATATTTCCTAAAATCAATGACTTATAATATCGTCGGCCTTATGCCAAAAGGGTCTTAACTGCTTTTGGCCATTCCGAGATAATCGCGTTTAAAGTTTTGGACTCTCTATTAATCAAAAGTTTGTGGTCGTTTTTTTGTTTTTGAAGCCAGTTTCGATAAATGTGTTAAGTTATTAAGTTTACATGAAATGTGTTATAAAATATTCAGAATTTTACATGCTATGTGCAAAAAAACATGTTATGGCCTTTTTGGCATAAGGCTTGAATGTAGCGTATTTATGCCAGGAGGGCCATAACCTACTCGGCATTATGCCAAAAGGGGCATAACCTACGCGGCGTTATGCCAAAAGGGCCTTAACCTGCCGTTATCGTACGCGCGCATAGTTAGCGCCCTTCTGGCATAAAGAAATTCTCTTGTTTCGCAACACCTTTGGTTTGCCAGAAAGCCCTTCCTTCGGCTACTGGATCACGAAAACTGATTAATTTAAATGTTAGAAAAAGTATTTTTGATATCTGAATATTTTTATTAATATAATGCAGCTTTCGGTAAAGTTATTTTTTTAGAGATCGTACATTTAGGACACCTTTTCCGTTGTTTATTTTCATCACAGTCCCATACGTTGACATCTGCGTATTTCAACGAGTCGGTCGCATTTCATGCATCCACATTTATTTTAAATCTCACTCAGATTTCATGATCTAAATTCATGACTTATACTTTCAGTGTTTATTTTAAGTACATTGTGTCTATTGTAGACTAATCATGTTTTTAATGGTGTTTCTACTGATATTTATTGAGTTAAATGGAAATTACGAAATAATCTGTCATTGATAAAAAGATTTGCCGTGTAGGTTAAGGCCCTTTTGGCGTAAGGAAAAAGATTAGATACGCGTTAAGGCCCTTTTGAAATTCATAATTATCTTCATAAATAAATTGAATTTCAACAAGTGAAGCACATCATTTTAAAGAGAATGTTGAAATCTACAAGGTGATGTTAATAACTCAATAACCCCCAAAATCGGGTTAAGGCCCTTTTGGCATAAGGCCGACGATATGCATTTTCAGTTAGCGACCGTAAACTAAGATTACAGTCGCTAACTAAACACACGCGCGCCATCCATTTGGTAATAATTGAAATAAATAAATTTGTGTGAGGTATGAGAAATCATAGATCTTACATCACATCACATGTTCTAAAATGTCGGCGAACTTTGGTCACTGCTTCATTAATATTTTCAAAATCTCCGCGAACTTTGTCTTTGATCAACCATTCTAGTACACTAGAGTCTAGATCTACTGTTTCTACATTAATTATTTGAAGATCTGGAGATGGAATATTTTGAATTCATACCTCAACATACTTCTACTTCTCACAAAATGGAACATATTCTGGATTCTTAATGCTATTAGGTTAGATGTTAAATTGTTTTGACTAATTTTACTTTTTTGCTTTATAAGCCTAGGTCTAGGCCTACTAAAAGAACGCCAAAATCAATATGTGGGACAACGCGCTTTCAAATGCCATGAATGCGAGCACAAAGTCCATTAATTTCATGTATTGACGCAACTTTCAATATAAAATGATGGAATACTTACCGAAGTAAACTGGCTTGTTGCATTTGCCACAACTTGACATGATGACACCTAATTATAATGTCTTTTGATGACGGAAATTTGATGTAATTTCGTTGATGTCTGTTTACCTTAATCGTACGTGTTGCATATGAAAAATTTCAGCGGGCGCGTACGTACGCGCGCTGAATACCGTTTTCGATCGTGAGTGAACGTGCGCTTGCGTGATGGCGCATGCATGTTCATTTCAGCGTGTTATATTTAAACGTCTTTGGCTCCCCCCCCCCCCCCCCCGAGTCAAAAATTCATTATGTAGGTTGAAAAGCTCAATGATCAATTGCTTTTTGTCAATAAAGGTTGCATAATAATATTGACAAGATATCGCTAACTAAGAGCGGTGACTTGGAGAGTAACAACAATTTTCTTTGCCCGCCGCCCGATCCCCTAAATATACAAAATATGAGTTTGTTGCCCTCATTATATAGGGGCATGCGCGTAATATTGAGGAAATTCAATTCCTGTTTACTCTCCTTTTCTTTGAATGGAATATATTCTTTATGTGATTCAAATTCAGGTTTTTTTAATTTTTAATTTTTTTTAATTTATTTATTTATTTTTATTTATTTATTTATTTATTTATTATTATTATTTTTTTTTTTTATGGGGGGGGGGGGGCAAAAAGCGTTTTGCCCCTCCCCCCCCCCCCATTTTTCATTGGTGGCGAACGCCCCCTCCCCTCCCCCCCCCCCCCCCCAACTTCCGGCGCCTACGGAGGTGTCATATGATAGGCAGAAAATCAACTTTCTGGAAATACAGTGATTTTCTCTTTAAAATTCAGATACCGTTCGCCAAATGACCTTTTGGCACCCTCAGTTCAAATTGTTTTTAATCACTGATGCATGAAATATGCATCATATGAGTTACATCATAAATGAAAGAGGATCTAGCTTTCTTAAATATGTGTCATTTAATTATTAAGTTATAATAAAACATTGATAATTCTTGATTTTGTTTTTTTTGGACGCACTGTATATGATATATATAACACATTTCATGTTTTCCCTAAGACAGCAGGTATAACTCACTATAGATCCCACCTGAGGGGCTTATCAAGTAAGGAGTAATGCGGTACATGTGGACTAGTACACCATCTTGGACATGAATTTATTCGCATATGGTTTTGTATATTACCATCACAACTTAAACAAAAGAATTATATAAAACGATAACCGATTTCTGAAATGTATGCATTTTTATTTTCATAACATGAAGTTATATTCAATTTGCCATTTTGTACATAAAGATGCAACAAATTAAACATGGTAGATATTTCAAATAAACTAAAACTATATTCTTTATATCTAATATAACACATAATGGGCAATGCATGGCAATGTAAAATATAAGTACCTGTAGGTGGCACAAATCTAAATCATTTGTTGAGAGCTATAAGGGTGTTACTCCTACACACAGAGAAAGCAACCTTATGGCTCTGAATAGACAACGATTGTATGATGAGCTTGTTGAGCACCATTTTCATCCCTGGAGTCTGGAGATCTGTGGGTACCCCCCCCCCCCCCCCCCCAGATACCTGAAATACTTAAAATTCAAAATTTAATTCTGGCGTTCCTTACAAAAATTTCAGCTCCTGATAATGCCAAGACTTTCAAAAATCCTGCAATCATGCTGGTACAAAAGACAGACATCCATTTTCCTCCATACAAATTATATGTGTAATGTATAGCTATTTGTCACCAGAGGGAGATAAACAACGATCCCTCGACTCCCTGTAACTAGAGTTTGTCAAGATTCCATGAACTGTGTCAGTCTTTACAATGAATTAAAAGCCAGTTTGTAAACAGCTTAGGAACGCATAACCCCAATTTATCCACAGATCTTTTACAAGATGGATATGTCCCACTTGTGCATTTTAGAATAATCACTGCCGAAGTGATGGACGTGCTTCATGAATACCTTTTGTTTGCCTCTTGAGAAAATGCATCTATGACCCAGTCTGGTCACAATAGAATTGACGGTTGCAAAGTTACTTGTCACAAGAAAATCTTGCATGTAAACTTTAAGACTTGTGACGGACGGACGCCATTTAGATGCCTTAGTCTCGCCTCTACCTTTGGTGGGCGAGACAAGAAGTAAGCAAGGTTTGCTCAACAAACATTTTTCAATAGCATCCACTTGTTTCAAATGTTGCATTAGCCAGGACTCCCATTTTTCACTGACTGCAAATTTTCAATTCTAATCATTGTATCAGGAATTTAGCCCTGTCCCTTACTTGTTTTTACCTCTGTTAATCTACACTACTAAACTCTCATCAATAGTACTGAGACGAGTTGCAATGCGATAAATCAACCCATTCTCTGCAGCTTTCTTTATGAGTAATCATTAAAACACATTTGAAGGTAGCTTCTTTTAATATATTCACATTGTTTACTTGCAATAAAAACAATTTTCACAGAAAATAACAATGCAAGTATGTGTTATTAATTTTTATTTTTTTATATACGTAGATGGAAAGCACATTTCTGTTTAATCATAATAATGAGGGTTTTTTTACAGTGCACACTAACCAACCCACAGTCACCTATTCACAGGCATGCACAAGCTAATCTACTTTGACTTTCGTCAATATCCAAACATATCATAAAATTTCAAATTCTTGAACAAGATGGAAGGGGTTGCAGCTAATCTAGAGTCTAGGAGGGTGTTTCACAAAGATCCTAAGTTGAACTGATCTCTAATTTGGACCTAACAATTATGGAAAGCCGTTAGCACCTATGAAAATATTTTGTAAAAGTTATTACAAAAGGCATAAAATGTTGATTCAAATCATTCATATTTTCTTTTATCAAGGAGATTTCAGGTTCTTGATGTGGAATTTATAAAAAGTCTAAAATACTTGAATTTTCGCTTTTGAATATATTTCATTTTAAGGCTACAAATGGCTCTCCATAATTTTTAAGTCCAACTTAGAGTTAAGTTTGACTTAGGATCTTTGTGAAATACCCCCCTTGTGATGGAACTATATTTCACGATACACTAGCTTTCTTTCACTTTGACAGTTTTACCATGCAGTAGACTGGATGATAAGACCAGCAAAATATAAACAAGTTGCAAAACTTCTGAATATCAAATTCTTTAATAAAGCACAACTCAAATGAGACAGTGTGCCATGCATGTTTGCCAGGGCATTGTTTCACATAACTGTCATAAGCACAAGGTTGCCGACATCCCATTGAAACATGTCTGTTACAATAAACACACTTCTTGATAGGATGCCCAGGAATACAAGCTGATTCCAGTTTCTTTATTTTCATTGTTAATCTTAAATATACAGTTTCTACAAAACTAGCATACTTGAAATACTTGAAATAAAGAATAACATAAATCCCTACACACAGAACCCAAATCGGACTTGGGTAGTATGTTAGCGGTGCAATGTTGTTATATTATTGTTATATTATTACCAAAATTTGAGCTTCAAATATTATTACTATAATAAGATATTACCCGTTTAAATACACCCTAAAAAAGTGACTTGTGAGTAGACTACTCTATGCACCTGTACAGGGGGATGTGAGTTGGTCTATCACACAAGCGGCACGTTCACTTGGTCAGCTCTCTGCACTATGAATATGACGGACAAAGAAAGAGGACAATATATACAGTTCCTCATTCTACCCTCAACAATTGCTGTGGTAGACGAAGGAACGTCCCTTCACTGCTATGTAAAAATGTGTAGAACAGGTGAATATGCATGTGACGCCAGTTCTACACATTTTTACATTATAGCAGTGAAGGGATGTTCCTTTGTCTACCACAGCAATTGTTGAGGGTAGAATGAGGAACTGTATATTTTGTCCTCTTTCTTTGTCTGTCATGTTCATAGTGCTGTCTTCGCCTACAAACTGGCTCAGGGCGACCCAGGTTCGAAAATGAGTCATGTCTTTCGATGGTGACGTTGAAGATCGGTCTCCAGACGTAAAAAATCATATCTAATTGATACACGTCTGTAAAAACTCAATTACACACACACACACACACATGCTCTCATACACAAAGCCCACACACAAACCCATGTCATACTTGGATTAATCTTGCAGCATGCTCCACGGCAATAACCAGTGGAACTTCCATTTATACATGTCTGTCTTTTAACATCAAGTCCTGGACCTGTCCTGCCATCACAGACTATTTATAAGGGTGAGTCCATTGTTGCGTCCCCACTGGCCACGGTAGGACAACAATCACACTAGTAAAAAGTAAAAATCTTTGAGTGACCTGTTTTACCATACCATACTCATTTTCTCCAATAGACTGTAATGTTATAAAACCATTAGGAAAACGCAAAATTTGATTTCGATTTCTAATCATCAATATCTTGATAATCAGACAGACGATCGGCTTGTAAAAGTCATGGGATTCCTGGCTGACATAAAGGTTTATAATTATGATTGCAGCATGAGCTAAATCCAGAATTTTGTTTCAGAATCTGAGGCAATGTTACCGAGTCACTTTAAAGGTGTTGGTCCCAACGGTCGTCCAGCATCAAGTCCTGGACCTGCCCTGCCATGGCAGACAATGTATAAGACCAGGGTGAGTCCATTGTTGCGTCCCCACTGGCCACGGCAAGACAACAATCACACTGGCATGTCCCAAATGCCCACTTGATGTACTGGATTAAACATGCATCATCATTAAGGGTGATGGTACCACCCGGCCCCCCACTCGTGATCGGAGGGATACCATGCGTGTTACCAAAATGTCCGGTAGAGGGGTACTTTTCACCGCCAAAGTCCGGCTCGTAGTACACAAAAGCCCGTTTGACACACCGGACTTAGGGGGTATTTTCAAAAAGAGGGAACATGCATATGCGTACCCTAAATAACACTGAGTGGGGAGGGGGGGGGCGGGTGGTACCAGTGGTCGTCCAACATCAAGCTCTGGACCTGCCCTGCCACCGTAGACTGTGCATGAGGGTGGGTCCATTTGTTGCGTTCCCACTGGCCCAGGGGAACCACGATCACACTAGCATTGTCCTCACTGTCAAACTGGAGAGCCTGGTCGCAGATCCATCCAACATCAAGCTCTGGACCTGCCTTGCCATCGCAGACTGTGTATAAGGGTGGGCCCATTGTCGCGTCCCCACTGGCCCAGGGGAACAACGATCACACTAGCATTGTCCTCACTGCCAAACTGCAGAGCTTGGTCGCAGATGAAGCTAGCAGCCTCCTGGGGGTTGTGGCACAGGCTGATTGAATCACACATCTCTTGGTCATTCATCACAAAATGCACTCCGTCTGTGCAGAAGACAAGGAAACTGTCCCTTCCGTGCTTCACCTTCAAAATGATAGAACAAAGCAATGAGAACACATCTTTAATGTCACATGGGCAAAACCTAAAACGACACTACACTAGGGCCCCAAAATAATCTATTTGCCTTTTAAAATAAAACGCTATTTGACACTTTAAAAAAAAAGATAATGACTTAAATATATGGTCTTATAATTGAAGGTTAGCTAATGTTGAATATTAATGTATAAAAGGATGTCATTATTCCAACTCAGTCACAGAAATTTAATTGTATCTTGGACAGGTGAAATTACATCATTACTCAAAATAGAGGAAAAAAACTGGGTGAAAAATATCTCAGAGGCAATTTTGATATATATACCGGTATGTAGTACACATAAAAACAAATATTTACGGAAATGCATAATTGTTGAGTGTTTCATAATTCTGGTAGTTTTGTAATTACAAAGTTTAGTTTCAATATTATTTGTATTAATACATCCTTTTCATTTTTATGAACACACTGAAGATTTTATTTGTTCAAAGATTTGTTATCTTTCACTATAATGCTTTAGCACTTAAACTTTGTATTGTTTTTTTGTCTCTTCTTTTCTTTTAGAAATGTTAAAAAGTTACATGATACTGTATTATTTGATTGTGTATATGTAAATACAAAACAAACATGTTCTACATTCATATGTATAAACAAATTAAAAAGAGAAATCTTACCAAAGAATGAAACTAGGCTCGACTAGCACTAGTTAACTTCTAGTTCCCATTATCTTCACCTTAATATTAGTAATACACATATTTACATGTATATCTTTTGTACATTTAATAGTACGCAGAGCTTTGTCTACATATCGTTTTAAAACAGTTACTGTTCAATCAACATTACTCTTATGTTATGTATACATGTATCAGTATTATTCTTTGCATTGTATGATGGTTCATAATATAATGTACTGCCATCATTGTGATGTGTTGTTAATCGATTCAAATTCAAATTAGCTTACCTCAAGTGACCTTGTTTCTGGGGTCGCGATGACCCCATATCTCTTCAGGGTGACGTCACCAAAGCTTCTGGTCATGGTCAATACACTGTTCACAAGGGGCTTCCCCAAACTGTTCCAGCTGAACCACATAAGATGGAGAATATACAGAGAAAATAATAAGATAAATTGAAAGACACCAGGGCCCCTTTGCACAACACTTACCATTGATGGTAACTAATAATATTCCGCTTTTATATAACGCTTAAAGGTATAGACCAGTTCTGGTCATGCGATTGCATTGTGAGAGAAACGTTGCGGAATCGATAAGAAAAGGTTGATCATCTAGCATCTATGTATATCCAATTACTATTATTATTATCACCAAAACTAAATGCCAATACCAGAATACATTATTTTAATTCCTTAGTTTGAATTCTTACGTGAAGGATCCCCCAGCAGCTTTGATTCTCTCTTTTTCTGCGGTGTTGTACTCTGGGTCATGGTCGTCGGTCAATCTCTTTGCCTTTCCATTGCGACAGAGAATGGCACGACTATCGCCCAAGTTAGCCAAGACCAACTCATTTCCATTGCGAAGTAGCGAAACGGTAGCTGTTGAGCCTGAGTTTTCATATTCAGCCTCTGTTGGAGAAATAAAAGAAAACTGCATATGTGAAATATATCCATTCTTTGATTTCCTCACAAAGTGATTGTCATATTTAGATAGCTTGGCGAAATGTAGATAAGACGAGTCCTGAACGGAAACTTCACAATTAGTGAAAATCCGAATGTTATCAAACAGAGGTAGAATGACATCTTACGATATGGAGCTGGTAAATGCATGTATACACGTTTCATCTCAATGAGGCTTAATGTTAGCTAGCATTCAGATATATATGTCAAGTTGTCAACAAGAAACTTTTAATTAACAAACATCAAATTATTATGGATTTTGCATCCGGATACATCTTCTTGTGCCACTACATTTCGCAATTAAAGTTATATTACCACATAGGTATTTTATATAAAGATGAACATTAAAACCTTATACAACTTTGAAATACTGTACTATTACACATGATCTTTAAAAAATGATCAAGGGAGTCATACTGGCTATCATGTCACTTTAAGAAAACAATTAACCTTATATTAGGTTCACATTACTGTTTGTCAATCCCTTTATTTGCATTTAATTATTGTATTCTATCCTCCTTTTAACCTACTTAAAACTAGGAAAAACCATACATCCCCCCAAAACCTAAATCTTAGATTTGTGATTTCAAGTTGACAAAGGTCAGTTCAGCAGCCGAAAAATTTGCAAAATCGGTAACACTAGCTATCGGAAGTTGATGATATTCAGAGGTCAAAGCCTTAACACCAGCTGATTTCCATTTCGGTTTTTAGGTATCGTGTTAGTGTTTATTATACACTAACACCAGCCCTAAACACCCAACTTGAAATCACTCAATGGTTGATAGTAAGCAAATAATTACCGTTGGTGAAGGTGCTGGGACAAACAATCACTTCCGAGGCGATCTGGATGTAGCTATCTTTCCGAAGCGAAGCTGAGGAAAGATAGCGTATACATTCAGATCGCCAAGGAAGTGATAGTTTGCCATCACCTGAAACCAAAAGGTGATTAGTACTACAGGTACTATCTACACAGTGCAACGCACTTTCACTGAAGATGGGCGAACTATCTTTCATTACGTGATTTAATTTTGACCAATCATAGAGCAAGATTCTTAGTATGTGGAATATAATCTGATTTACCTGGGTAATGAAAATAGAGGTAACGAGTCAGTTTATTGTTCAGATCCTCAAACGCATTCTTCAGCACAATCTGCAAATCATGCTCTCTCTCCAACCAGAAGTTGAGATGAAACTCTAAATTGTGATGAACATAATCTACGGCCATAGATCCCGCGTGTCCATCGAAGATACCGACATACAGAAGGTTTGGATGGAGTTCTTTGATGCATATCCGATCTTCGTTCTCTGCCCGGCGACCAATGAGGGAGTCCTTTCCGATGCGCCCGACAGATATCTTTGGTATCGGGATCCCATGCTTGATGCTTTGCTGTAGGAGGATGGGTTCCTCAATCCTGTTGTCCCAGATGCCAAAGTTGTCCCAGTTGACACCGCGGCTGGACGAGCTGCATCTTGACGACGTTGTGTTCAGTGAACGACGCCATCTGTGACTGATCTGAGGTATGATCTCTGACTGAGGCGTTCTTTGTGAGAAGTTTGCGATTAATCTTGGTATAATGCTATACTCCGGTGACAAGAGTTTCCTCATGAGGTTCCTCTGTAGCATGATGCCCTCCAAGTCTAAGCTAACAGGCTCAGATAAGATGTAAAGAACATCTTGTATCTACACCTGTATGTATGAAAGAGAAATAGAAATCGAGTCTTATGGTGACTTATTGTAACTAAAAAGTTGGATGGAATCCGAATGTTACATTAGATCTAGTCATTACAATAGTCTACGAGACATTTTTGTAAATTATAAGTCTTGTTTTTAGGGAAAATACGTCAAAAAACGCTGAAGTTACGGGTCAAAGTATGGATACGATTCTGAATTAGCAACCTATGCTTTGCTGAAGTGGCACCTACGTAACTATCAAACTCTCAGCTCAGAGAATGAAGCATTCGGTCTACCACGACCATCAAGGCCAAGCTGCCCGGCTCTTGGCACGCCACTGGCCTGACCGCTTGGCTTGCCCGTCGATGTCGCAGCCGGTGGCCGGTGGCAGGCGAACGGAGCCGAGCCAATTGGCATGGCAATTCAACAGGAGACAAGTAATTTCATAATAATCGACGAAAACTTGGTGCTGAAAACTTATCTTACAATTGGATAATTGTTTATATCATGCAGATCATGCAGTAAAAGTGCTAAATAATCAATAATAAATCTTACCAGATCAGTCAGCTCTAGGGCGGCTTGCAAACAATTTTACGGTATGGGCAAACGAACAAACTTAAAATTAAATAAAAACATCTCAATTTTGTTTCTTAAAAATAATCTATATTACTCATCATCATTTTTTAGGGGGATAAAGGCCTTTCACGGTATTGCATCGATTGACATTCATCGCTATGTCATGTGTATTTTGGTGTTATTTTCATAATAGAAGGATAAGATAACTAAACAAAATGAGAGAGAGAGAGAGAGAGAGAGAGAGAGAGAGAGAGAGAGAGAGAGAAACGTACAGAACACGAAAAGGGCCTAATCAAACTCTTAAAAAGAAGAATTCACATTTGTTTAGTTATAGGCTCGCTAATAGTAAACATAGAAATAGAAAATAGATATATATAAATGGTTTATTAAAAAGATCATCGCAGCAAACGGCTGAATTGCGATCCATTTCACAAAGATCCAATATAATTATAATTCGAATTAAAATAACACAAAACATGTCACAAATCAAAGTCAAACATACAGATATTTCATAAATTTCATTTATCAAATTCACAGTGTTTTTTTAAAGAAAGAGAAAGGGGGAGGATAAAAGAGGAGAGTTAGAGTGATGAGAAAGGGAGAGAAAGAGAGAAAGAGAGAAAGAGAGATGGAAGGGGGTGAAAGAGAGAGAGAGACATGAAGGGGAAAAGAGACGGGAGACGTAGACAAAGGGGTCCTTATCACAAATGAGGGGAGATGGAAAGAAACGTGCAGAATTGCAGAAAATCGAGATAAAAACTATAAAAAGTCATTCACATATATAGTGCAAACATGAACTGTGAAATTATAATACAATAAATATAATATGTTAGTATAACATTTTATTAAGAAGATTGATAAAGTATGGAAGGGAGCTGCACTAAAAGCTTTTTGTCTTCAGGGACGGATCAAGGGGGGCACAGGGGGCACGTGCCCATCCCCGGCAAAAAAAAAAAAAATTTGTACGCACTGCCCCCCCCCCCCCTCCCCCTCCGCCCCCCTCAGCGAATTCGCGGCCGGCGCGATTTTCAATTTTTTCGGGAGCAAAAAAAAAATGCTCTTACCCCCACCCCCCCCCCCCCGCTCATTCAGCGGCTATGTCCTCTTACCCCCCCCCCTCCCCCCCCCCATACCCCCTCTTCCCCGCTTATTCAGCGGCTGGCTGAGTCGTTGCGATTTTTTTGGGACCAAAACAAAAATATATATGTCCTTTTACCCCCCCCCCCCCCCCCCCCCCCCCCCCCCGTGTGCCCCCGGCATGAAATTCATGGATCCGCCCCTGATCTTACATAGGTATTGTTCAAACTTTAATTGAGATATTAGGGAATAAGTGCTTTGATTAAGTGGTGAATCTAGAAGGTCACCGAGACGGTACATATGACTTGTCTCCGCCCAATAGTCCTAAAAAAAAGACTGTGTCCCAATATTTAAGCTCAAACAGGCATTTAAAAAATAGTGAGCACGATCGCAAATAGTTTCCCTAAATATTAAATTGTGCGAACTTGACAATATTACAGAATCCGATAATGAGAGTAATGAAATTGCCCTTTTCGATAATTTAGTTGCGATCGTGTAAATGATAGATTTTTGTCATGATCATACTTTCATCATCATCCAGGCCTGCACAAGCTTTTGAAAGAGGGGGTTCCCTTAGGCACTTGAGCAGAAGCGGAGCTCCGGGGTGGAGGGGGGCACAGCATCCCCCCAAACAAAGCAACAATAATTTTTCACCTCAGATAAGTGCCTATTGTTATTCTAATAAAAACCGTTCCCCATCCTGTCCCCTTTTACTTTGGCTATAGTGCCCCTTTTTCTTCGTTATAAACGCCCTTTTAATTCCACTTCTTTTAAGTTCCCCTTTACACTTCTGATGATCAAGCCCTAGTTCAGATGCGAGAAGTGCCCATTTTCACCTCTGATAAGTGTCCCTTTTACGTTGACACATGCCCCCTTTCCTTTCCAATAAGTGCCATTTCCCCTTCTGATAAGTGCCCCCTTTCCTGTCTATATAATAAGTGCCGCTTTACATATGCTAAGTTCCCCTTGTTACTTTTGATAAGTGTCCTTTTCCCTTTCTATCTAAACTGCTCTTTGATAAGTGCCCCCTTTGAGGCTGCATGTATTTCACATTGTCGCTTACAAAGTTTGCCCTTTGGCAATCATCGAAGGAGCCATATTATAGTTTCAAAGAATCAGAGCAGCTTTGTGTTGTAACAGGGTCCCTATCAACGCTATCAAATGTCCCTTCTCTAGATAACTAATTTTAATATAAGAAGTGTGCTCTTTTTAAACTAAACGTTTGCCCCTTTGAAATAGTACGACATTATATTCTATTCTAATCAACTGCTAAACGAGGCATCTTCTATACCTGTCACCCTTTAACCCCCTGCTTCAAAGCGACTGAGAGCAAATATTTCTAGATCGAATTTCCCCCAAACTCGCACGCTAAACTCGCTCGCATTTATATTATCTCATTAATGTCTTGTTTGACAAATTTAGGTCTTATTAATTCTTTCATCATGAGATAATGCTTGAAACCACATCAGTATTGGAGATTTCTTGTAAGATCTAGTCAATGCAACCTCACAATTTTTTTTTTTGCTGGCTTGCTCAATGAATTTTCAGATAATCACACAACTGCAAAAAGTGCAAAGAATGGTGTGCTGAAGCAGTATCTGGGACCACGTAATCATCCCTGATATTTTTGATAATGTATCAATTATAATGTATAGGTATATAACAATGGCTAAAAATTGTATTTTGTTTTACTTCGAGGTTATAAAACCTTTGTAGGTACCCCTTTTCCAGAAATTTTTTGTTGGTGCACCCAACTTTGAAAGGGCGCCGCCCCTGCACTTGAGAGTGAATTAATTTTAACTCCACAACTGTCAGCAGCAAGCAACTTAAGAAAGCTTGAAGGGTCTGCATTTTGGAATATTACGTAATTCAAGCAGCTAGTACAAAACATTTAAAAAAAGATTAAAATCAAATGTGAAATACAAACAAATAAAAGGCCCCAATCAAATCAGTATTCTACTAATTTCAAATTAATTAAATGAGTAAGTTTCGAATGCATCCGAAATATTAAATTGAAACGAAAATTAATGTAAAAATAGCTCAAATTGGTTATGTTTGGGGTGGGGTGGGGGGGGGGGGGGGGGGGGTGGTGGTATAGTGTTTGTAAACAAACTTGTCCATTTTTTCCCAGTTCAGAGCCTTTCAAAGCCACCATAGAATTAATGTTCTCGAAATTTACATTACGAAATTGCAGCGAAATCTGACGAAATCTCTTGCATTTTAGGTTTTACACATACACGCACAATCACAACAAGTCTGATACAGGTATAACCTGAAGGGAAAAGATTTGATTATTGAAAGGTGTTGAACTGTGTAACGTTTTGGTGCTAAAACGGTAAGCATTTGCGACATTTGTCACCTTATGATTTGAGTTTGAGTTTGACTGTGTTGTGGTTTTGGAAAAAAACTCTTTCGTCAGCGTGCACACCAAACTTCTTCCAAAGCCAGTGCACAGGCGCAGGCCATCCGTAGGCCACAGCCTTTTAAATCAGTCCATGGTGACTAGCGTAAAATAAATATAGTAAGGGGGGGGGGGGGGGGGGGGGGTCAATAAACTATTAGGGTAAAAACACAGTTACATCTTTCGTAGTAAATTTTCAAGGCTTATTTTCTTGTTGAAAACATATGGGAACATTTGATGTTCAATTTATAAATTGTCATTCAATCATTTTTGTATTGTTCAGCTAAGTTTGTAGTGCTCTACCAGGAAAAGAGACAAGAGTAGGGAGGCCAATGCCCGGGCGTAAGGCTTCTACACCTACGATTTGTGCGCTCGTCGCCCACTTCAAAAAATTAGCAAAGGGAAAAAAATGATGTAAAAATAAAAATTGAAGAAAATATGAAAAGAAAATACAATTATACATTTCACAACATACCTATAATCACGGATCTGTAACAGTCTTTCACCATTTGTTGACAATCTTGCAGATTTTGACGTTTTTTAATCCAATAATTGTGGTTGCAGACGACCTTGACGCACTCGCACCACCGACTAAGAAAATCCTAGAGGGCGTAGAGGTTTGCTCACTAAAAACCTTCTCATTGGCAGAAGGTAGACCCTAAAAATATGGGATCCGTTTTGAGTAAAGAACTTTTGATAGAGATCAACATTTCAGATGTTCACAATTGCCACTTCTAACAACTAGAAAATATAAAGAAAAAAGATTATATCTTTTTAAATACAGATTTTTACAAACTGAACATTCGAAAGTAGATAGAGTACGATGTTTCTGTCAATCTTGCGTTGGTTTGAGCCCTATAGCTACATCCATCTCAAAATGAGAAGGAAAACAGTGAACAGTGACGTCATTGTTCGCGCCAAAAATAAAGGGTATTGCGACATAATCTGAGCTCCGGTCAGATCGTGCGCAAAGCGTAGTCTTATTTATAGACCATAGTACCTTATTCTCACAGCACTAGATACGAGTGTCGTGCAGTAATGTATGAGAAGTGTTAAAAAAGATATTTCAGTAAAAAAAAAGTCTACGTGAGCAGTCTATACTCCAATTGAGAATTGAAATGAAAGCCATGATTTGAAGGTGTGTGTTGTATGATACATGGTTAGTGAGTGTGTATGTTACGTATAGCGAAAGGGAGAGAGAGAGAGAGAGAGAGAGTGAGAGAAATATTAGTACACGTACGTTGCATGCATGGATGTGCGCTATGATTGTGTTCGCTGCAAGATGGATTTTAATTGGACCTCGTAACTTCTCGATCGTTGATAATAAGGAATACTCATGAGGAAATCAAATTATTGGAATACACATTTAAGGTAAATATCAATGAATTATATATATTTCTTTCCTTTTTTGAACCATCGTCTTCGGCTCGTAGTAGTAGAAGATGTAATCGTTCGCACATTGATGGCTGGACTTCAGCCTGCATTGGGGCTTGCCTGTGTCGGTGGAGGGATCAACTAAAGAAGAAGAAGGTGTGTACGTGTGCGACCGATTCAAGGCTAGCCGCTGTTGAGTGATTGCACTTTCGCGCGAAGTTTTAAACTTCATCATGAACTTTGTCCCTCGGGCCTGTCTAATTATGAACGTAACTTTGCGACATGAAATATAATTGTTTCAAGGCTCTTACGTACGGAAAGGCGTAGAAGGAAACGGCTACAAACCAGCTGGATATCTCCTATTTGATGGAACCTATGGAGTCGGCAGATGGGTGGATTTTCTTAGTGAAAGTAAATGCTTTCTTTTAATCTTAGTTTTAGTATAAACAAATTAGTAATTAAAAAGTTAGATTTGGGCATTGGCCTCCCTAACAAGAGAGTCACAGTAATTCAGTTTGCTTTCCCTTCACAGACACAGGTGATGCCTATTAATATGCAATAACAATAACTTTCCATCTTGTTAATGTTAGTCATTTTCTTCTTCTTTTTTAATGTAAAAGAAGGTCAAGGCTTCCTTTTACATCTTCTCTTTCTCTCTAAAGTTTCTATATTTTTCTCTTTCCAGTTCTCTCCAGCACAGTTGTTCCCACAGCCATACCCAGCATTCTATTTTTTTAGGTTCACTCATTTTGAGCATCGATGTAAAGTATGATCTCAAAAAATAAACTCTTTCTTGCCTTTCATATATGCAAACAGTACGGTACATTTGTTTGAAACAGTTTGATCTTAATCTTATATAGGACTATTTTTTCAGCCTCCAGCCATTTCTTCCATATGATTTGTTGATGCTTCCTTTGAATATATGGATGTTTGTTTTACTTCGTACAGCTCCTGGGTAATTGAATTCTGCATAGCATATTCATCAGGGAGACTTCTGAGATAGCTTCAAGATGTTTGCTGCAAGGGTAGCCAGACTGCCGGTTCTTCTCTGCACATCTGCTACACAGTCCCTGAAGAGTGTGCATCCCAAGTCTGCTGGCTTAGCTAGAGTGAACCTTGCAGGGAGAGCCCAACAGTATGCCAGCCAGACAAGGCTAGGGGCTAGGAAGGCAGCAAAGACCAGGTCCTTGAAGGAGATAGCCCAGGCACCGGCCTCAGGCTCTGGTAAGAAATGGGATCCTACAAGGATTAGTTGTAGCCAAAAGCACAGATTGCTTTGCATCTTTCATCTCATGAAATAGTATAGAGATATCGACTGCTACGAGAGGACTGGCTGTTTTTATACGCTCAAGGGGAAATTTGCATCCGCTGCTATCACCTCGAGGTGCGGCTGGGTGGGCGGCGCAAATTTCCCCAAGAGCCAGTATAGAAATAGCCAGTCCTCAAGTATTAAAGCAGTCGATATCCCTTTTATATGCCAAATTCAAACAAAAATCTACCAAGAATTCTTACCGTATCCTTTTATCGAGTAAAGATTAGTTAAAACATCACAGGAAATCTGAGAAACTGTCTGTCTATCACCGCCGGAAAAAATGACTGAAATTTTTGATCAGTTGGGAATCGCAGACACAAAGCACCGTTTGGTGTCCGCGCTCGCTCAAAAAACATTTTAACACATAAACCAATGGGTATTGCAGCAAAATTTTATTATTTTCCCGGTAACCAGAATTTAGAGAGATCTCATTCTTGGACTATTAATCGGGTTTGGCATTTTTCGTTTCTTTATGGGAATGGCTAAAATCACGACTCCAATTTCGACCAATCAGATGGCTGGATTTCTTAAAGGTACTATGTCCCATTTGCATAAATGCCTATTATTATTACGGTATACTGTTTCCCACTACCTGTTTATCTGGAAAACTAGCATAATACGTCTACATAACTGAATTCTCTGCTCTTTGATGAAGCGCTCTAGCAGAAAGTTGTAAATCTGTTAATATGACTTACTCTCTTCTCTTGTAACATTCAATATATATGATCGACTTTTCAGCTGATATGCTTGGTAGAGGTTTGCTGCTTGGAGCTTCAGCTGCTGGCATTGGCGCTCTCTGTTATTATGGCTTAGGTTTTTCCAGTGAGGTCGGAGCAATTGAAAGAGCTGCGTAAGTTTAATCATTTTGATTCTGATGGGTTTTTCCTCTTATTTGTCTTCATTCATGTAAATTATAGTGGAAATCCAGTTTGTGTTTTCATTTTCTTCGAGATGTATTCATTGATGCATTGACTTGCGTAGAATATGTGCAGATATTGTGTCATGCCCTGACAGTTGTTGTGTGCGGGTAAGCCTGAATCCGATGACCGGGGTAATAATGTGTACTGCGCCTAGAAACAAAGTATTAGGCGCATTATAAATGTGTACTAGTATTATTATTATCATCGGCCACAAAAAGAAATATAAAGTAGTAATTGCAGATCATTAATAAGTTCTTATTTTTCCTTCATTGTTAGGCTCAACAAAATACTATATTATCTCCTGTTAAATAATATTTTAATACGATTAATAATAATTTGCAATATTTTCAGAATTAACCAGTCAAAGCTGATTTCACTTGCATCAATATGCATTTCTAAGTAGGTTTTATCCCAGCTTTCCTTGGACGTAGTATGAAACAGTTGGAGGTTCTATATCCTTCCAGTTAAAGGTATAGACCAGTTTTAGAAACGCCTCCCTCTCAAAAAATGAAATGGAAGCTCTTATTACCAATCATGTGAAAGAAAATGTTTTGACTACCAATTAATACGTGATGATACAATTTTTGCTGGGAAACCGCCTACTAATTGATATATTTGGTAAATCATCATATCTATCCGGCCTGGATGGATATTGCGTAGCCCCATATATATCTTTCTGTGTACAGTGCTTGTAACTTTACCAAGACTGGGCCAAATTTCTTATCATTTTGATGATTCCAGAACCTTGCAGTTCACACCAATACTTTTATGCTAGATGATCAACCTTTTCTAATTAATTCCACGTTTCTTTCACAATGCAATCGCATGACCAGAACTGGTCTATACCTTTAAGATTTCTTGTTTTGTGTCTCTGACAGGATCTGGCCGCAGTATGTGCGTGATCGCGTGAGATCAACGTACATGTACTTTGGGATGGGGATAGCAGCCACCACAGTCTCAGCCCTTGCTATGGCCAGAAACCCAGCTCTCCTCATGAGAATCTCCCCTAAGTCATGGGTGGTAAGTCATCTTCTGCTAAAGACAGAAAACAAACTTTCATGTATTAAAGGCATCGTTACAGTTTAACAATGTAATCTGAGATGCACGGCCCTACGTGTTATCAGTGTCTGTGATATGGTCAGGCCTGATAAAAACCTGATTTAAATCGATTTTTTTTTTTTTTTAAATCCTGATTTTTTTGATTTTTTTTACCAGATTTTTTTTTCTTCTTCCCTATTTTGTCCTGATTTTCCTGATTTCCCCTTATTTTCTCTATTCTCCCCTATTTTGCCCTATTTTGCCCTATTTTTTTCCCAATTTTCTTACTTGAAAGGGGGAAATGTTGTTAGATGCCATTTTTTCCCAGCGAATCCTCTTCTTTTTTTTTTTACTCAAGGGGGGCGTGGTTGAGGGGAAAATAAAAATAAAAAATTTTTAGTGCTCACTATCACCCCTGCTTATATTAGCCATGAAAGAAAAGAAATCAAGCGTTTTAAATCTGGCTTTCACCTCTCCTTCACAAAAATTCAAGAAATTTGAAAGGTTGGGTTTCCCAAATGTTTAATCTAGTGTAACATCTGTTAGAAAAGCCAGAAGGGAGTTGTAACTCATATTCTTCAAAACAGGTTACACTCCTCTGACTTTGAACAGATGATAAATTGTATCAATTTATCAATACCAGCCTAATTCAGAGAAAGTTGAATCCATGTCTATTGCAGTTCATGAATAATAAGGTATTGACTGAAAATTGATATTATAAATCTGTAAATTTTGTAATACTTAGTGTAAAGTAAAGTAAGATTTCACAAGACATCATCAATACTTGTAATTTCTATTCACGCAGATTTATTTCATATACATAGTATTTTGTCTCAAGATTATGCATGAAAATGAAATGTTATTGATGCCAGTTATAGGGAACATAGCTGATTTATGCAGACCTACTGAACATTTTGTTCCTCTACTATTGACTACCGGTACTAGAAAAACAAGAACCTTTCACATATGAATTGTTGGTGAATTTTGAGAGAGGTTCTTATTTGGTAAATTTCGTACTGCAGGATAATTTAATCAAAAGTGACACTATTAAATTTTTGCAAATTGAAGAAGAAAAAAATGCTCATGCTTTTTGCTATCACTACCATTAGAAATAATCACATCAAGCGATTTTTCATCCAGGAATGAAATGTATAGATAAATGTCATATATTGCACCTGACACATTACATGGAATGGCTCAAAAGTTTTATGTTGAGAAGTTTCTTGTTTGCGGGCGTTACAAATTCCTTGAAAATTTCTTTTTAGGGTGCACTAGGAGGCATGGCAGTTGTAATGGCATCAGGGATGGTAACAATGTCTGTGCCTTACGCAGAAGGGGTGGGTCTCAAGCAACTAGCCTGGCTGGGTCACAGTGGTCTCTTAGGGGTAGTCCTAGCCCCTATCTGCTTCATGGGTGGACCACTGCTCATCAGGGCTGCCTGCTATACAGCTGGAGTCGTGGGAGGTGAGCCCTGCTCTGCATATTCCATTTGTGTGTTTGTTCGTTAAGTTGTGTGTTTGTTTATTTGTTTATCTTGTCCTGTTATGAATTGTTTTGCCATGTCTTGTCTTATCTTTTTATGTCCGTTTTTCTGTCCTTTGTGTCCCGTTTTGTCATTCTTTTCTTCTTTTTGTTGTTGATTATTTAGATACTTTAAAATGGTTTACGAAAATCTATTTTACTGTGATTATTAAGACACTTTAAAATGATTTATGATATTAATATTAATAAAAGTTTAAAAAAGTAAAATATAAGTAAAACCAAAGATAATAATAATAATAGTTCGTCCTTATATAGCGCATTTCAGGACCGCAGGCCCTCTCAATGCGCTTCACAGATATGTAGCACATTTGTTAGTGCCCAGATAAGCTCATTTACATGGGACATACACATTTAACTAAACATTCATCTGAAAATCAAGGATGTACCAAACTTTTGACCAGCACTTTATGTCATAAAAATTCAAAGCTACCTCACCCCAAAATACAGATTGTGGCAAGAAGTGGGTCATAAAGCTGGCATTTACCTCAAAAGACTTTGAAGTTTGATCTCTTTTTTCTTCTTCTAGGTTTATCTTGTGTTGCTATGTGTGCTCCCAGTGATAAGTTCCTCTACATGGGAGGTGCATTGGCCATGGGTCTAGGAGCGGTCTTTGCAGCATCAATTGGTAAGTTTATCCATACTCCCCCCTCCCTCTCCCCAATTGGTAAGTTCCTCCATACTCCCCCTCCCATCCCCTCCCACCTCCCTCTCCCTCCCCCACTCTTCCCAGTGATAAGTTCCTCTACATAGGATGTGCATTGGCCATGGGTCTAGGAGCGGTCTTTGCAGCATCCATTGGTAAGTAATTTCCTCCATACTTCCCCTCCCATCTCCCCCCCCCCACCCCCCCCCCCCCCTCCCTCTCCCACTCTTCCCAAATTATCCTGTGTACTTTAGACTGCTTCTTAGTCTTTGCGTCTTTTCTCATTCGTTACCCTAGTGTCAAAGATACTTTTGAGATCACAGGATCAATTATGGATTTTCTATAGTAAAATTGAGATTTTCGTCTGGTGACTTTAAAAAAAAAAAAAAATTGTTCTTAACCAGAGCTATTTTTTAGTTTTCCAAACTACTTTGAGGCTTTCTGGAACTTAACCTTATTCCTCACCTACTTTTATTGCACTGCTTTTCTATACACCATTATTTCTTGTATGCATCTCCTTTTTTAGGAGAGGAAGGAAAAGAGAAAGAGAATGCCTGATAATAGTCAGACAGAGACAGTAGAGATGAGGTGTTAAAAGGAGTGTGAGAGACAGATAGAGGAAGAGAGATAAAAGGACAGGAAATAATTAAGGGATGGACAAAAATTGAAATCAATGAAACAAATTTATCATAAATTATTATTTTTTTAGTGCTAATTCATACTGAATCTGTTATAATCTCTATGTATTCCAAGGAATCAAGAAGAGATAATGTATACCTGTACAATTACTTCTTTGATTGTATATTGAACAATGTGTATAAAGCAGAGATGCCAACCAGTATGATTTTATTGTATTTAGTATGATAATAACAGTTAAATACAATAATACGATATCGCCTATAAAAATATGATTTTTCATCTTTCAAAAAAAAAAAAATTGAATGCGGAGTCGCATGGAAACATGTACAAGTAAACCCCCGCAAACCGTACATAAACTTTGCTTTACAATTTTCTCATTAAATGTTAATGAAAGAGCAAACATTTTACTTGACCGTTCTTACCAGTGAAACATTTTTCTGACATTTTACTGGCCCGGGGCCAATGGGCACTACGTGGTAGTGTTTTCATTAAAATCTGATTTTTCTCTCAAAAATTTGAGTTTTTAGGATATTCAGTCTGTTGGCATCTCTGATAAAGCATTGTAATGATAGCAGATTGACATGTATTGATCCTTGGTTTTGTTTTGCAGGGAGTATGTTCTTGTCCCCAGCCACAGCCCTTGGTTCAGGGCTCTATGCTGTCAGCATGTATGGTGGTCTTGTGGTCTTCGGTGGCTTCATGCTCTACGACACACAGATGATCATGAGGAGAGCTGAACTGCATCCTATCCATGCCCAGCGACCTTTTGACCCCATCAACAGGTGAGTAAACCTCCAACGCTTTGTACATTGACACACCGACCAAAGATATATTAGCGCTTAGAGACTTCGGTGGTAAGCGCTTTATAAGTAACGTTTTTATTATTATTATTATATCGTTTTCTGATACAAAAAACTTTGGGATGATCATAATATGTAATTTAGGCTTCTAGCAACGTTTAACATTTGTAGGCAAGCTTTAATCCACCCCTTGTGGACTCTCTCAATCCAAGTGATTATTAACACAGTTTCTTGCTGTCTGCTGTCCCAAGATATGTGACAGTGAATAGCAGAGCTGCCAACCATTACGTTTTTCCCGGAATTATTCCGTTTTTTCTCTCAAAATTACGGTAGTATGTTGTTGTTTTTCTTCATAATTTTTTTTTTCTATCTAAAAGAAACAACATACCGCACATCAACCAAATGCCCTAAAATGTTGATCACTTCTTCAATAGCAACTTATGGTTAAAACATACTTGAAGAGAAAAATATTCTCAAAAAGAATGAAACATCGATAATCCCCCCCCCCAAAAAAAAAAATTAAAAAAATAATAATAATAATCGTAGATAAACTATAGGTCCTAATATGAAAATAACAGCATGAGGAATGGACATTTCTGCATTGGAAGTGTGCTGCTTGTGGTTGTAAGTTTTATTTCAATTAATTCCCTTTTTTTGCTTGAAATTCCTTTTTTTTGTTCCTTGGAAGGGGGGGGGGGGGGGGTTTGCACAAGGGTGGCAGCTCTGGAATAGCCCAAGTCCCAATTCAGTGAAGGATTAATCCTTTGGATCCAAATGAATTCTTTCTCTTTTCTTGACCAGTAGTGTATTTCAATATCAATAACATGGGCGTCATACCATTCAATGTTATGTCCAGTATGAGGGGGTGTTCTGCTACTGCTGAATGGAATTGATTATTCAGTGTGAGTGTTAGGACTCTGTTGTGTTCTTTCAATTGATCCTTCAGTGTTCCCCCGTTTCTATCTTGTATCTGCTCATCCCGTGCAGGGCTCCAGTTTCCAGTGGGACGTGTTCATCGGTGTTCATCACCTGGGGATTTATTTTTTGCATGAAATAACTTGATGTTTTGTGTGTTTGGGCTTCCAGAGGCAACACTTCCTTTGGTGAAAGGATTACATTTACAGTTACACCTTTCAAAGATGATGTCGTCATGAGCCTAGTGGATGGGTATTTGCATTCCAGGGACCCGTTGTGACTAATATCCACCTTTTATAAGACGGGCCCAGGACACTTAACTGTTGAGAACTTCCATGTTGGCTCATCTTGATACCCATTCTGTATCACATAATTTTGTACCCTGCATATGATTTGATCATTGTATTGTTTTAACAATGGCTTTCTCTCTCTCTTTCTCTGTCTGTTCCCTTGTCTTTATGTCTCTTCTCTCTTTGCTCTCCTTTTCATCTTCCCTCCCATCTCTTTCTCTCCGTCTCTCTCTCTCTTTCTCTGTCTGTTCCTTGTCTTTATGTCTCTCCTCTCTTTTCTCTCCTTTTCATCTTTCCTCCCATCTCTTTCTCTCTCTCTCTCTCATTCTCTCTCTCTCTCTCTCTCTCTCTCTCTCTCTCTCTCTATCAATCTCTTTCCTTTTTGTCTCCTCTATCTCCCCTTCTTTCCCCATCCCCATTCCTCTATTCCTGCAGTGCCATGAGCATCTACATGGACACCATCAACATCTTCATCCGCATCGCTACACTACTCGCCAGTGGAGGTGGAGGCAAAAGGAAGTAAACCTCATCAGGGATCTTCATCAAAACTTGAAAAGACTATCAAAGACACTGTTCTAGTGAATCGCTCACATCTCCAATATTAGGTAAAGAAAGCGATATCCTGAAGAAAGGCATTTGCAAAGAAATGAGGATATCATTGAAACGCATCACAGTAACGTCTACATAATATTCCATCGTTTAATAATGAGAGCACATGTTTTTGTTGGTGAAAGACAATGGCAGAGGATTTAGGACATTGCAGTGACTGCTTCACATCCCCAGTATATATGGCAATATATCTGCGTAAAAAGATGGTTGCATATGTTTGGAGGATCGGAAATTTATTTGCAGCCTCCAGACATCAAGATTAAAGCAGATGGACGATGTCGTCATCTCGAACAGAAAAGGCTCAGTTATTTGATCTTTATACACCGCCAATATTAGTGTGAAAAACCCTTCACATGTGTGTTCTCACAGAACCTACCAGAATGCTGATTTCTGCAAGGTTTTTTGGTGATAATTGAGAGTTTCTGTCAACTTGGCATAATATTAAGGAAGAGAGATCTGCAGCATAATTTGCATATCTTGAGTTCATTAAGGAGAGTTTATGTATGGTATTCAAATATATACTAATTTGATAAGTAAATATGCATGTACACATAAACCAAAGCCCATACTGAGTAAGCATCTGTAAAGTATGAAGCACTTTTATACAATGTTATGATAGTTGACTGTTTGCTTAGAAATATCTTAAGTGATGAAATATGACATGAAAGTAATATATATTTATAAGCAATATAATCATTTATTAGCAAATTGTAAAGTAAAGTTGGTCAGGGTGCATGATAAGGAAATACTTTACAGAGCTGCCAACTAGTTCTCTTGCTGTCTTAGCTCTGTGCAAAAAATTACTGAATGAATTCCTCTCCAAATGACTGATTTTGAGCTTTTAAGATCAGCGATTTGTGCTCCTGGAGGTGGGCAGCTACATGTATGATGTACACTGTTATTAACAGAGGCACATGTATCCTCAATATATAAAGTTGCTTGTGTGGCCATTTAAAATCCAAAAAATTTGCTGTAAGTAGCGATTTTCATGCCTGCACTTTTGACTATCAGAAGCCTACAGTAAACTATAGCTTCTATTCCAAAATCATCAAAGAAGTTATCCACTTTCCTTCCAGAGGAAGCTTAAAAATTGAGAATTTTGGTGAGGGCTATATTGTGTCATTATATGATATGATCACTTGGGAAAATGTTACTGAAGATAAATGCTTTGATAAATAATACATGTATATTTTATTTTCATTAAATGAATGTGAGACTTATTAATGAAAAAACATTTGTTTCACTGCATCTTATTTCTGTCTAGACTGCAGTAAACCTTAGTAGTTACTACTCCATTTTTTTGTTTATTAAACACATGGCAATGGGGATGAAAAAGGTAGCTGGATGCAAGTGACGCACCAGCGGACAACTGGACCCGGTCGAGTTATCAAGTGTTTTTGCCGTAAGTTGGTTGGGTTATCCAGGTTGATGATGATGATGATGATGATGATGAGGATGGTGATGATGATGATGATGATGATGATTATGATGATGATGATGATGATGATGATGATGATGATGATGAAGATGATGGTGGTGGTGGTAATGATATATGATTTGTAAGGTGCCAAATCCACTTGATATCAAATGCCCAAGGTGCAATAGCGCAATGGATTAATGGTTCACTAAATAGCCCAATATTATATATATTTACAGTGCTGCAAGTTGAACTTTTTAATACATGGGATATACAGGGTGGAACATTTTTAGTGTGAATCTAATTCGCCTTCGTTATTGACAGATTATCCTTAGTATTCCTTAAATCGTCATCTAGTACATGTAAATAGAACTTGGCAAACAGGGCCAAAGCGAAAAGCAGTTTTGAAATGGACGATGCTGCCCTGTACATATAAAAGATTAAATTACATGAAATCATTGTAGACCTACACAAAAGAACACCCACAGAATGATAAAACATACACAAAATGAAAGAGAACAATGATATGCCAAATGAAAAATGTTTTAAAATAAATACAACCTTTCAAAATATATATAATGAGGCTGATTGCTGAAGACAACCTTGCATTTCAATAATAAAAGTTTAAAATGTTTGTAGCATTATAGTTATGACTTATTTTAAATCATGTTTTCCACATGTTCTTGTTTCTCTGTCTCTCTCTGTCTCTCTCTCTCTCTCTCTCTCTATGGGAAAAGGGAACTTATAAACCTGTTTCAACTGACTCATTTTCAAATGAAAACAAAGGTTTATTTAAGTAGTTCAGGGGATTTTTTTTTTTTTTTTTTTTTTTAGTTCTGAAGAGGAATTAACTATTTGTTTAATTATAACAGTCTAGCTGTCAGCCTATATGAGTTTTAGCTTCAGAGCTGTTTTTTTTAGCAAGACCATGATGATATGATGCATACTAAAAAAGAAAGATACTATCAACATACAAGGGAAGAGGGGACTTTCTGTTATCTATATTTTGAAATATATTATAATATAATAATAATAATAATAAAGATTGATTTATGCCCAAACATGCCTATACCACATGCCTATACCTGAAACAATGTGGGGGTCAGGCTAGATGTTAGACTTTATAGATGTGGTGTTTTTTTTTCAGTGGTGAATGCCCGGATCTTGGATTCCCATTGGGGTGGGGGGGGGCAGAAACATAGTGCTGGACACAAGTCGAAGCTCATAAAACGAAATAATATCATGGTGCATAAATATAAAGTTTGGTATATGGTTTTTTTTTGTTTGTTAATTTTTTTATTTATTTTTTTGTGAGTGTTTTTTTTCTTCCAACTCTAAAATCCGATATAATTAGAAAAGTCCATCCAAGCAAGCAAACGAAAAAATAAAATCACATCAAAGCTTTCCATACTCAGCATGCGCATGTGCAAATTACTACTGCAAATGTACGTGTGCGCGTGCATGCATTTAATCTATGCGCTGATCTGGAGGCAGAGGCAAGCAAGAAGAAGGAAGCAAAGGTAAGTGTAAAAAGTACAAAATATCACCCAATAAGGAATTATGATGTTATGTTTTGAGCATTTTGAAAACTTAATTTAGAATGTTTGCATGATTCTTTGGATTCCGACTTTATTTCCTGACGAAGATATTATTACGTTAGAACTTCGATAAATTGCGTCACTCACCGCTTAGCCAAGTCTACGTAGCTCATAGGCCTAACTCCAGGGAGCTCCCACGCCGAAGCGTCGGCACTCCAGATCAGAGCTCGTAGTCGTACAGGAAAACGATACAAACAGCTACAGCGGGTAGGGTCACACTTTTTCTAAATGTGAAAAAAAGGTAGTAATTACAATTTTGACTTACAATGTTTATCGACTCCTCTGGGCATTGTTCCAACCACTTCAACTTTGAAGTTAGAATTTGATGAAGTCTTCAATGGAAAAAAGGGTGATTCTTCGTCCTAACCCGACGATTCATCTAGAGTAAAGGAGCCGGTAATCGGACAGCTCCAGTTTTCGGCCGATCCATTGGATGCATGGTAAAATCCCTTTAAAATACATCGCATAATAGCATATCACATATCCCACACATACCATACCATGCCAGAGTCACTGAAGAACCACATTTGCAATGGAAAATATATCCTAAAATATCACATTTTAGCGATGTAATCGGCGGTCCTGCTACCCAAATCTGAAAAATCGAGTTTCTTACGCATGTATGTAAGAAATATGGGTACCATAAAATGAGCTTTATTTCAAGTATTTTTCAGATTTAGAGCCCGATTTTGTGTTGGTCGCAAGCTCAAAAGTATCTCATCGCATGTATTAAATCAATGCAGCCGGACCCCACCACGCACACACAATATGTCTGTCTAATTCTGGGGGCCGTTTCTCGAAACCGTCATAACTACAAGATCAACGACATCTCGCCACTGTCGCGCAACTTGTCAGCTAAGTGTTTCACGAAGCCGTCTTTGCCAAGATGAGCGACAACTTTCGCGACAAGCGAGTTGTCATTGCTCCGAACCTGTCATATCTTTTTAATTGCTGTAAAGCGCCATCACAAGTCAGTTTGTTGCCATTCCATGGGCCGCGAAATGGACGATTAGTTTCACTATCATTTCGAGAAAAATATAGACGAGTTCGGTACGTAATTCTCTGGGATGCGAAATGCAAATATACAAAAGTGAGAATACAAATTATACAGAAACTTTAAAAAGCTGAATATAAACATTAAATCACAAATCATTAAACTATAATAGGCACATTCATGGGGCACTAGAGGGCGCTTCGCTCGCGTACGACAATCTGAATGGCCTTGCTGCGGTGGGTCGGCAATAATCAGCCCAAAACTTGGATATGGGAGGTTGGAAGGATATATCTTTTTTATAATGTTATCCAGTCTTACCCTTAACCATCCTATGTTTAATCTATGTAGAAATAACATGCGAGTGTGATAAGAGAAACATCGAGCCCATTACTGAAGTAACTTTTTAAATATTAGCCTAGAAATGACCACCAAACGGAAAAAATTGACATTTTTTCCCGACAAATCTTCATAAAATCTGAGTTATAAACAAGTCACATCTAGGTACACTAATACAAATACGATTTTCTGAAAATTCAGGTATGATTAATTAAGTTTCTTTCAAGTATATTTCTGCGCATTGCAGTGCCAATATTCTACACTGCTTCAAAATCACACTTGAATTTTTTTTTTGCAACGAATTTGATACGAGGTCCGCGAGTGTTCCCCGTTCCTTGCGTGTTGAAAGTTTGGTAATACATAGTTTGCATTGACTCGCGCACGAAAAAATGGTCGAAAACAAAATGTCAAATGAAGAAATAAACAAGCTTTTGTATAGTTATAAGAGTTCTACCGAGGTTTCTTTGTCGATTCAATTGATTATATAGTCTCAATTAGAATTCAGAATTATCTCACTGAAAAGTTAAGAAACCGACAATGTTCTCGATCTTAGTTATTTTCATTTTGCCAGCAGCCGATCTAGCATTGTTTGGGCAAAAAGCTAGGCCGCTGCCTTCCCACGCGAACCCTTCCGAGTCCCGCTAAAATGGCGCTCTGCGGAGCTCCGAAGCTGCGTTGGTATCGCTGCAAACTCTCAGCCGGCTAGCTCCCCACGAAGGACCATTCGCGGTATGGCGAAAGTGTGTGTGTGAAGTATGATTTTGGATTCGAGAACGCACGTAATGCAACCGTGCGCGTCATTTTCAGCTGTCGAATGTATACGACCAATTTTACATGTACGATTTTTAGTACAGATACTTGGTCAGTTTTCTTCTTATATCTTTGGTTTTACAACATTTAAAAATATAATTTCTTCAAAGTTGCTCCTGACTCGGTTCAGACTAATTGTCTGATGTGTTTTCAAGTCAATTTTTTAAATATATTTTTTTGCATGAATTTGCCTAACTATAACATATAAATAAGAGAGGTAAGAATGTTACACAATGTTTTCCATAGTCGATCCATAGTCTTTTCTTAGGATACCGTCATACCTTTGGGGCCTATGTGCATTATTATTCCCTCTCTAATTACTTCTTCCAAATTATATTTTCAATATCAAATCAATTATATAACGAGTATTTATGAGACTCTAGAATAAAAAACTGGCTGAGAAAAGACATTTTACCTAAAATTCCTCGTCACAATAAACAAAAAAGTACGTATTGATAAACTATCACATTACGGTATCCTTCAACTAACTTTTGATTCGACTGTCAAAAAAAAACACTCACCGGTTTTTCTTCAATTTAAGAATCTTTACAAAAATATGCAAATCGTTTGATGATGTAAATATGATAATGACACTATTTGTTATTTATTTTAGGAGAATTTATATGTATATATTTCTTTTAGAACAATTTTAGCCCCAAAACTTGTTTTGGGTTATTCTTTATAAATGAAATGGATCGTGACAAAGACTATGTTCTTGAGCTGCTAGTATCGCGATATATCGATATCATGTCTGTCAAGGCTTTGTGATACGGTTTATCTGCTTCATGACATCTCCGTAGGTCGCCGACAAAGATATGACTGTCATGGAGTTGGTTTCGAGAAACGGCCCCCAGATTCCAACTTCCGATCACCGCTGTGCTTGTCTTCGGCCAGGCGAGCACCTGGGAGCTCCTGCGTGGGATACCTGCTCCGCCCGCTTGTGCTATACATCAGCGCGGAAACGCACGGCGCGCGCGAGCGCTTCCTATTGACTTTGTACATGCGTCCGAAAACTGGTTCGCTATGCCGATAACCGGCTCCAAAACAGTGAAAATTGAAACGAATGTTGTCATGGCAATTCGTGATTTTTTTCTGTGATTCTTTTTTTGTTTAAATAATAATAATATTTACTTCATGATTTGAACAAGAAATGATAATAAATAGGAAGTAAAGAGTCCAAAAAATAGGATTTTGTCTTAAGTGGCCGAAAACCGGGTCCTTTACTCTATGTTGTAAATAAGAAATAAAATAAACTAGATCTAGGCTTAGGGTCTATGTCTATTGTTCCCTACCGTAAAGGAGTTAGAAAACATATATCGGTCTAAACAGAACGTGTTAGATATATATCTAGACCCAGTAGACCAATTATGATTATATCTTCGAGATTTATGAAATCATACTTTAATCAGCATGTCAATTTTTTTTTTATTTGTATACCTTTTTTCCAGCTTAGATCAGGTTGCCAAGTTTAAAGAGACACGATGTCAGATGACGCTTTACAAGCTGTCCGTGTAAGGGGCTTCAGTCTCTCAAAGAGTGAGATCATTGGACTGCTTATCAGATTGTCCATCGTTGGAGCCGCAACATACTATGGAGTGAAATGGATCGTCTATGCCATGGACCCTACCAGAAAACAGAAACAAGAGGCTAAACAACAAGTATGTTCATGTAAAAGTACAGGCCTTTAAGGGTTCATAACTTGCTTTGTGATTAAACCAAGCATTGTGAGGGAGAGGGGGTGGGGGGGGGGGGGAGGGGTGTTTACAGAGAACACTTCTCTCTTTTTGCATCAGCCCTAAATATTACTGCTAATATTAAATATTTTGCTTTCAACAAAATACGCAATTGACTAATTGATACACAATTGATTTTAGGTGGATAGTATTTCAGAAATCTGACAAATATTTTGCATGAATGTTTAAAATTTCTATCCAGTATAGGAGCTTAAAACCATGACAATGGTCAGCAATTGATATAAATGTAGCATAGTACGAAGTCCAAATCAATGGGATTTTTACTTCCTTTCACTCTAGGCAGAGAAGCTGATGAGAGCAATAGGACTCCCGCTTCACTCCAGTCTCACAGAGTATGAGCTGTCCATAGCCACTCAGCTGGTTGACCCCTTGACCCTAACCATTGCATGGTCAGACATCGGTGGACTACAAGGCACCTGCAAGGAGATTAAAGACACTATTTTACTCCCTCTGAAGAAGAAACATCTATTCGCTGGCTCTAAGCTCATGCAGCCCCCTAAAGGTAGATATGCAGAGGAATTGGTGCAGCAAAATCGTTGCAGAATTGATTCCTTGTGCTGTGGTCGAGTGGTTAAGTCGTCGGACTGTCGATCACAAGGTCCGCGGTTCAAGACCCGTAGCGGCACTAATGTCCTTTGGCAAGATATTGATCTACATTTGCCACACCCAACCCAGGTGATGTAAATGGGTACCTGGCAGGAATTAATTCTTTGAAATGCTAGAGCGCCGTAATGGCAGCACAGCTAAAGCCGGGGTACTATTCTCCAAGTTTGGAAGCGCTTAGTGATTGTAACAAGCGCTAGATAAAAACTGAGTAGTATTATTATTATTATTATAATTATGAATGGCATTCGCTGCCTTTTACATAGTCCAAATATGATGATTCTACCTCCTCAACACATGGTACTGTCTGAATGTTACTTGAGTATTGTTTTCTCTAAGGCAAAATAGAACAAATGGTAAAATGTCTCCATAATGACTTTTTTTGGGATAAAAACGTGCTCATGAAAGTTATGTAATCATTATTTATTCATGCCCAAGCAGTGCACTCCATGATACACAGGTGGAAGTATTCTTTGAAAAGGGGAAACAAAGGCTATTTATGTAGCATCTCCATCGCTGTAGGGGTGATTATTTAAAAACGTACAAAGTGGGCCCTCTTCATGTTTTGAAGATCTGTGGATACACTATGAACATGACTGACAAAGAAAGCGGACAAAATATACAGTTCCTCAGGTAGACAAAGGAACATCCCTTCACTGAGATTATGTAAAAAGGTGAATATGCATGTGACACCCGTTCTACACATTTTGACATAATAGCAGTGAAGGGATGTTCCTTTGTCTACCTGAGGAACTGTATATTTGTCCGCTTTCTTTGTCAGTCATATTCATAGTGATATTCAGGGTCATTTGGGACATGTGCTAACCGTGAACTGGTCTATTGCCTCTCCCCCTCCAAACCTTGGGTCGATGACAGTGTTACAATGAAGACTAAATCTGATACCAACAATCTCCTCTGTTTCAGGTGTGTTACTCTATGGACCACCAGGTTGTGGGAAGACCATGATAGCCAAAGCCATTGCCAAAGATGCAGGATGCCGTTTCATCAATCTGCAAGCTTCTAACCTGACTGACAAGTGGTATGGGGAATCCCAGAAACTCGCATCAGCTGTCTTCTCACTGGTAAATCATTGATCATTATTTATCAGTTATCATTTATTTATCATTCATTAGTGACAGTTTGTAGAGATAAGGAGGCCACAAAGCCACTTGGCCCCTTTACCGAGGTTGGGCAATCAATTGCCACATTTGGATGGTGTGTAAGTTCTTTGTTTAAATGAGGGGGTCTGCTCGCTATTTATAAGGACCGCTTCGTTCGTTGGTGTCTTCTTAGATCAAGATAGTATCTTGATCTTCGTAGTAGTCGAAGGACCACTATTTATAAAAGACCGCTATTCATTTTGCGCATTATGGATAGCGGTCCTTATGAATAATGGACCTGGAGAGGGAGCTTGACCCTAATTGAGAGTGTTGCAGAAATTTGATTTTACTTCTCTTGCCCCATATGGTAGGATAAACAAAGTGTTAAACAAATCATAGTATTTTCTTGGGGGGGGGGGGGGGGGGGGTCATTGTCTTTTGTTCTAGCTTGATATACCATCTAGGCACCCAAATCTGATAGGCGGTTTTATATTCTTTTGGGAAAGATTTTGAAGAAGAAAAATTTAAAGATATTATGATTATTAAGATATTATTTTTTTTAAGATATTATGATTTTGAAGAAAAAAATTAACCAAAGAACTGAGAAACTTTATGAATATATTTAAGCATATAAATGCAGTTAATCTTGTTGGTCTGTCTTCTAGGCTGCCAAATTCCAACCCGCCATAATCTTCATCGATGAGATTGACTCGTTCCTCAGATCAAGAGCATCACATGACCACGAGGCTACAGCTATGATGAAGGCTCAGTTCATGACTTTGTGGGATGGTCTTATCACAAATGAGAACTGTGAGGTAAATGATTGCTGTCAAAATTTTAAAATGTAAGATAGTAGTAATAGTGGTGGTTATTTTACCTGACTGCTAACAAAGCATAAATGCTTGTTAGTAAGCAACCAGAGGAATGACGGCTTTAGGTCCTCTCCGAGAGACCTGGTAATGAGGATTAATGCCTTACCAAAGGGCACTAACGCATCGCCTTGGTTTCGAACCCGGGTCACCGAATTCCGAGACCACTGCTCTATCGACTGAGCTATCAGAAGAAGCAGGAGAAGAAGAAGGAAGGAGGAAGGAGGAGGAGGAGGAGGAGGAGGAAAGGGAGAGGGGAGAAGAAAGGAGGAGGAGGATACTTTAATTTACAAAACACATTTTCTCAGAGGATACAAAATACAGATTACTAATTGATGCTACTTACTATAATTCTGACTGATAACAAAAATCAGTTATTTATGAATTATTTCATTTAATTTCATTACTTTCATTTAATGACTTGATTTATGTCATTCATCCATTTTGGTAAACGATTACAATAATTAGTATAGAATAAAGGACTTGACACTTGGTGCTCCAGAAGTCAGTGGACCATGTTAGGCCCAATTTTGATTTAGTCAGCTTCTATGAATATAGGACCATTAAGTGGTTTATCATTTCTCATTTTCATTCTTGACTGAACTTACCAGTATATCATATTTTCATTGTTTTACAAAATTACATTTTGTTTCGTTGTATGAAATTAAGAGGTCAACATTTGGGAGTCCATAATCAGTGGACTATGATAAACTTATGGGGCATTGCAAGAAAGTTGCGATTGATTGCAAGTTTGCAACTGATATTTGCATTCGATTGCAACTCAACTTTCTTGCCATGCCCCACTTAGTCTTCTAAGTTTCCTAGGATTTTGTTAGGATTCAATTTTTAACAACTAAATTAAGTTAACTAGATCTAGCTTTTATTCTCCCTCTCTCTCTCTCTCTTACTAATGGGGCGTTGCAAGAAGGTTGATTTGCGATCAATTTGCAATTAAATCGCAAGACTTACGTTTGATTTGGGGGATTTGCAATTGATTGCAACTTTCTTGCAATGCCTCATCAGTCTACTTTTTGAAGTTGAGCAATTAATTGATCTATATTTCCTTTTCTTGTCCAGGTGATTGTAATGGGAGCCACAAACAGACCGCAGGATGTTGATGCAGCCATCTTGAGAAGAATGCCAACCTCCTTCCATATAGGCATGCCAGACAAGGCTCAAAGGAGACATATACTTGAGATCATACTCAGAGATGAAGAGGTAAGCCACTTTGTAAGGTATTCCCCCTCCCCTTCCTTTCTTCTTCCCTTTTTTCCCCCTTTTGTATTGGTGTTCAGGTTTTCTCTGCTTTTCTTTTCCTTGTTTTCTTTTCTCAGCAATACTGTGTATACTCTTTAAGGGGTTGATGTTCATAAGGCTAACTGCCCTTATTGTTAACCCCACATTCCCATAAAATATTGTTTGCTTCTTCCCTTTGTATTTTTCTTGTAATCAATCTTTTATCTGGTTATCATGTTATATGTTTTAATGGTTCTTATGGAGAATGAAATAATGAAATAAATGACAAAACATGGTTAATCTCTGATCCAATGGTGATCCAAATTTGTATCTTAACTAATCCATGCTAACTCTTATTATGATCATTTCTGAATTTCAGATTGAAAGTGATGTAAATCTAGACCTTATAGCTGAGAAATCAGAGAACTTCAGTGGCAGTGACTTGAGAGAGATATGCCGGAATGCCTGCATGTATCGCATCAGGGATCACATGTAAGTTTATTGATATGTCTAGAGGGTACGGGGGTGCATGCCCCCTCACCAGCATGTCCCATGTACCCTAAGGATTTAACAAGAACTTACCTTTCAAAGTTATAATGAATAACTTGAGATGAGGGATAGTACGAGATCCTGTCAGTGCTTGTGCCAACAATATTCAAAGCAACATTGTGCCCACACTCACAAAACGAGATCTCAAAGATTAAACATAAAGAACTTACTGAACTCTTGAGAAAATTTAGGGAAGGAGAGGGGGCATATCATTCCTCCCCTCAAATTTCTCAATAAAATAATCTCAAACTTCGTACTATAAGTTCCTGTTTAATATTACGATTATAATTCATGATTTGCTATAAGGAGTATATATGAATTAGATGGCTTGTTCAGACATACATGTTTCTGTGGTTATGAAACCACAAAGTTTTGCTTTTCATACCAAAGATTAGTGGCAGCGTCATGGTGTAGTGGTCCTGACTCTCGTCTTTCATCATAAGGACGTGATTTTGAAGCCCACTCCAGGACGTTAATTTCCTTCAGTAAGAAATTCATCCACATTGTGCTGCACTCCACCCAGGTGAAGTAAATGGGGACCTGGTAGTAATATATTCTTTGAAAGACAGAGGGCGTGACAGCTGCTCTGCTGAAATCACCAAAGAAAAATGTTGACATTAAAAACGAGGAGACAAAGAAATATCTGAATGAATGTTAAATAACATCAATTCAGAATACCAGCATTAGATGTTATTTCTTTAAAGGAATAATGCAGTTGAAATCTCCCTCTCTCTCTCTCTCTTTCTGTCTGTTTGTCTGTCTCTGTCTGTCTGTCTCTTTCTCGCTCTTGCTCTCTCTCTCTCTCTCTCTCTCTCTCTCTATGTCTCTGTCTCTTTCTATCTCTCTCTCTCTCTCTGCACCTGTCTTTCTTTCTCTGACACCTTTACAGTGCTGAAGGAGAAGCAGCCAGCGATGACCTTCGACCTCTGAGTATGGCAGATGTCTTATCGGCATTAGGGAAGCTAAAAGAAGCAAGGGTGCAACAAAATTACAGCATACAACCTCTAAGCTCACTTCCTCTGGATTAGTATTTTTCAATTTCTTCTTTTTTTAGAAATTAATCATTGAACTCTTGGTGGGCTGTCCGTATACAAGACTCCTTGTTGACCACTGCAAGCTTGAAGTAATACCAAGGGGTGTCGAGATACGTATGTGTGGATTTTGGTAATCTCTGAAAGCGATATGTTTAAATTCTTTAATGTTGTTGATAGAGCAATTTTTTCAAGATTGGTCACAGTTATTAACAGCTGCAAATTTTTTTTTCTTTCTTTCATTCTCCTTTTTTTTTGGTTCTAAAATAGAACAGTAATTAATGAAGAGGTGATAAAAAACGCTTGAGTATAGTGAGTACAATCATATTGATAGATACTGTCAGGAAATTTGAATTGTGGAATTCTTATTTATGTACTTATAAAATTATGTCCATAAAATCTGCAGAAACCATGCCTGCTGAACTTCTTGTGAATATTTCCTTTATTGAAGATTTGGGAAATTTGATTCCTAGAATGTTTATTTCCACAAGTTTTGCCACCGAACTTCAGGAAGTTCACACATGACTGGGGCTACTTCTACAGCCACATACAGTGCATGCTTGGATTCTGTATTTTTTTAACATGGGCAATAAAGTTGAGATAACAAAATTATGCAGTAAACATAACAACTGATGATGCACATGTTATGATGATCGGGTACAGGAACCGAATATCACTCTACGTACGCCTTCACCGAAAGGTGGGCCAATTGAAAATACATGACGGGAGTGGGAGCGATGTCAGTAAAATACACTTCTTTTTCAGATGCAGTACAGGCCTCCGTCACGTGTACTCTCGTACTGTTGAGGTGCAGTGCATATGTACGGTATGTACAATGTCTGATAAAAGGTGTAGTTAACTGCATGCGAGTAAAAACAAATACATGTAGGTGCATAGATTGACTTTGCATCTTTTTATCCTTTTCTTGTGCACACTTATTCTCAGGAGTCACATAGGAATAATTACATTCAATTAACCTCTAGATTATTGTTGATTGAGTTGATCATGGCTTGCAACATAGCTTAAGATAATACAGGTCTTAAGGCTCATTCAGATATGACACGACAAAACCTCAGCGCTTTCTTATGATGACATAAAGTGTAATACTCTTCACATTTCTTTATCTTATAACGCAGTGCTCAGTGAATACACGCAAGTCCTTGTTGCGCACAATTGCCATTTCTTTACACATTAAAAAATCTTGGCAGCTTTTTTTTTGTGTGTGTTTTACTGTACCATATTTAAACAATCCTCAAGTCTAAACACAACTTGAAAGGGGAGTTATGATGTTGATTATTCCATCAAGAATAACAATATTTATAAAGCGCAACATATCTATCTCTAGAGATGCTCAAGGCGCATACAAATAATTTAAATTAATATTCAACATACTTAAGATTAAAGAAATATTAAATGTTAACTAGCATTAGATCATACAAGTTCATGGTGCCAAGGTACATACAATGTGGCACAGTGTGATTATTTGTTTGGCATGCATTGTATAAAAAGAACATTGAAATTTAACAATATGCATTGAGCATCAGTTGAGTTTTAAGCCCAGTTTTAGTATTATCTTTGTACACCACTGCTTTTTCAGGGCTCTACCCATCGGGATATGGTCTTTATTTCCACTTGATGCTAAAAGTAACTTTAGTAATGTTCTTCTTTTGTAACTGCATTTGTAGAATGTGAAGGAAACCATTCAAAGTAAAGGTTTTTTAGTTTATGATTGATTAATTAAGTCTGATTTGTTATCTCTCATCTCTTTTCAAATCAATCGGCCTTAAAATCCTTTCCAAGATAAATGAATTACTCCCTATGGGAGTGGGTGTGTGATGTGAGTTTTTTCTTTATTTTGTTGAATGTTATGCCTTTTTTTATCAACAATAAAATCCTGAGCCTTTCTAATCAACAAGAATTGATTTTGGTGATGAAAATGATGATACATGCTGTATAGATCATGATGTAAAGGGATTTGCAATTTTTTTAGTGACAATGAACTGTAAACAATTTGTAGTAAGCGCAGTATATTCGAAGAGTAGCAGCTCTATATGAATGGGCCTGTTATTATTTAAGTACTTCAGTCCTCTGTAGATATTATGCAAAGAAAATCCCTGCCCATATTAATAATAATTATCCTTGCTTATATAGCGCCTAACACTTACTTTATCAGAAGTCTCTAAGCACTCTACAATAATGCAGCATAATTGCCCTATTAAAGCCCAGTTCCCATTACCATCACAAAATTAAATTGGTAACATCAAAACCACTTTGGTGAAATTGAACATTTGGTTGGTTGCATGAAAGTCTCTTTGGTGCCTATACTCACTGATCTGTATAATATACTATACAAATAATTATAGAGTGGTGAAGTGTGACGTCATCAAAAAAAATAAATCTATTTTTAGAATTTCTCAATTTTTTTCGTCATTTTCCGAAAGAGGATCAAAAATAATGTCCAAATGTCAAAAACCAATTGAATATGTTAAGTATTGGCTGAGATATAACCATCTGAATAAATAGATGTCCTATAGGAACTCAGTGTTATTTTGCTCTGGTTCATAATACATTAGGAACCAGAGCAAAATAACACTGAGTTCCTGTAGGAAATCTATTTCTTCAGATGGAGATGGAGAAATTCTAAAAATAGATTTTTATGATGTCACAGCTTCAGTACTCTATAAAGATTGGCACATGCTCTAGAATTGTTTTATTTTGCCAATAATTTGTTTGTTTGTTTGATATCAAATGAAGCAGTTTACTTACTACCTCATTTTGGGAATTGGGCTTTGTGATATGCAGCTTTATTGCATGTGCAATGAGAATTAGTACAGTTTCTTAAAAAAAGGAGAAAGTCATATTAAAGATTGGTGGAAATGAGTACCGTTTCTCATATCAAAAGCTAAACCATGTGCTGGTAACGGGACAGTTTATAAGGCGTTTAATAAAGAGAAATGTGCTGATGATGAGTGAATAATAAAGCCCATCTGTACTAGATTGGCCAGGAGGGATTAGACCACCCAGTGAGGTCACCGACAGGTGGTTATCTCGTCAACTCGGCTCTCAACATAAGAAAAAGAGGATCATGGGGGACCAACGGGCACCAGTTAGGCATTGTTTTCCATATAGAGGGAGCAAGTTGCTACAAGTAGTACAGAGGGGCTTTAAGTGCATTTTATGAGGTTGTACCTGTAGTGATCCTATTAAGGTTGAACCCCATGTTTTAACGCTCTAACGCCCTGATATCCTGACCATTTGGTATATGTAGATATAGAGGTATGGGGATCGCAAAGCCATGGAATAAAATATATATTACAGCTGGATCCTTGACATAACATGTGTCATCATTGAGTGCATTTATGTTCTGTAGCATCAAAAGGAATCAGACCACTCTTTTTGGGGTGTTTGTACTTGATATTTATACTGGACTGAATCAAATTGTCCGATTATCCAAATGCGCTACAAAGAACACAATTTTACGACTTTGTTTTTTTACAGGTACCTGGTAAATGACTTTGCTACAATTTAGCTAGCGGGTATACACAATCAATGCAAAACGTAAGAATTAATACAAGTTGAATGCAAACTGTCTAAGACTATATGATTATGATTATGTAACAAGTCTCTATCCATTTATCCATATCACAAGTGTTTTTGTGAAGTTAAAACACATTTTTATATCAAATGAATACACACATGTATGATGGACTCTGAATCCTACCATATATAATGTAATGTAAGTATTTATCAGAAATCTTGCTTGCCATTTCAACATTGAGTTTATTTGATTGTATTCTTGTCACTATAAAATGATTGTCTGTTGACCTATGACTGTGGAGTACGTTTCTGATGTGGCAACAAGAAATGAGGATTAAATCTTATAATAAGAAATTGCTTGTTGTTACCCTTGTATATAGTATGTGTTTCTTTGTTTCTTTGTTGATCTGTTTGTTTGGGATTTTTTATTAAGATGTAGAAGAATGCAATGATAGGCCCAGAATTAATCAATCTGAGGGGCACAAGAACATTTATCTGACAGGCAAAAACTGAAAGTTATTGGTCTTTACAGGGTGCACAAGCAGGGGCGGTGTAGCATCTTTCAAAGTGGGGTGCACCCCTCAAAAAAGGGGCACCTGAAAATGCCTTGAGTTTGAAAACTCCTTTATTCTTTGAATCTATATTACTGAAGAAAGGGCAATCGATTAGCTTGGTACATGTATTCTTTGAAAGTTAAAAGGGCATGGGAGCCTAGTTTACAAGATGAGAGATTTTAAAATGCTTACTTGTAGATGGTTCTTTAAAAAGTTGGGACAATTGGCCTTCTGCCTCCTCAGCTGCTGTTTTTCTTTACTAGAATATGTTGTTTGATGTAAAAAGGGCACACTTGTACTTTTATAAAACGACTTCTGTATATAGAGTAGGGACGTTTTATAGCATTTGATATTCTAAAAGGGGCACAGTTAGATCTTATAAACTTTGGGGCAATTTGCCTCCGCAGCTGCTGCCTTTCTTTGTGGTGGTGGAAATAGGGTACCTGTTGCACAGAGCTGCTCCAATTTTTTAAAACTATAGATATACGACAGCAAAAGCACACATTTTTTGATAGAGAAATGGGACATATAGATAAGAGTGGCACCTATTAAAGGGCAGTTGTATAGAAATGGAAAGGGAGGCTTATCAAATGTAACAAGGGGAACTATATTCATCATTATTTGAAAAGGGCATGTAAAAAGGAGAAGGGGCACATGTCAAGTAATGTTATCAGAGGTGAAAAGAAGTTCTTCTCATACTTTAAAAGGGATACCCAATAGAGATGAAAACAGGCACTAATAAGCTAGAAGGGGAAAGGGGGCACTTGTCAAAGTAAAAAAGAAGAAGAGTGTTATACGATTTGGCCTTTCTTTCCATGCTCCAATCTGGAATCTGCTACACCCCCCCCCCCCCCCCCCCCCCCCCCCCCCCCCATTCCCATCTTTTTTTGGGCAGTATTTAGGGGCTATAGATGAAGCACCCAGTGATAAATTATGGTAAAGAATAACTGTGACCGAAAAAGAAAGAACTTGAACTGACAAAATAAAATTGGTGTTGAAGCTGATTGCTGTGTTGTTGAAGTCTTGTGATGGCGCTCTGCAAACTAGTGTTTCTATATCACCGGCCGTGTGCATGCAATTTTCACACGCACCGTACATTGCTTTCAAATGTTTATGTCAATTCAAGATCACTACCGCTGCGCAGGGTCGAGCTGGAGCCGCTAGTTGGGAGGACAGGAAGCAATAAGCGAACCAAATTTGTCTTGTAAGTTCGTTTTCTTAATATTTTTTATGAGAAGAGAAGTGAGATGTGAAAGCTGCAAATCTGTGGTATGAATGTATTGAGCTATGAAATGAGGTAAGTGACCAGGCTTTGTGTTTGCTAAATGCAATCTCAGCACAAATCTGGTCATTCAGTCCCAGCCACTGAGTTACCTGTATGGCTGTAGTGTACTGATTGTATTCATTGAGTGATTTCAAGTTGGGTGTTTAAGGCTGGTGTTAGTGTTTAATACACACTAACACCAGCCTAAACACCGAAATGGAAATCAGCTGGTGTTACGGCTTTGACCTCTGAATATCGTCAACTTCTGGTAGCTAGTGTTATCGATTTTCCAAAATTGTCGTCTGCTGAACCGACCTTTGTGGCTGGTGTTAATATTTTACTAACTCCGGGAAGCTCCAACACCGGTCGCTCGAAATTGCTGAATATGCACGACTCGAACAAAGGTTGAGAAGGGCTCTCTGTTTGTTCGAGTCGTGCATATTCAGCAATTTCGAGCGATCGGCGCTCGATAGCATGAATATGCATACTTTCTGCGTACTGTCTCTTCGCCATTTTGAATCGACGCTGCGACATGGAAGAATCGTTTGTGTAGGGCTCTGAATATCCTTTTTTCCCATCAAAGACTTCTTCAAATTATGAATTCAAGTGATCATTGTTATGCCCTGAGGATTCGTGCACCCTATGATGTAAAAATTGTAAGTACTCCCTTAGACCGAAAGCTTCAGTCTCTATAATCGTCGGTTGTTCCACTGAGACTACGTCTGGCTCCACTAGACCTACGGTTATAGAGACTGAACGATCGACTATGCCAGCCTATGTTGAAGATATCACGGCTAGATTTTAGCCGCTAGGCCCCTCCCACAAACTTGACAAACTTGCCACGGCCGTATTGTTATGCCCCCAAAATCCCCCAAAATGTCATTTTACCTCGTCCATATCCAATTTTAAATTAGGCCTAGGCTATAATACATCGGTTCCACTTACTAATTTGATGGAAATAATCCGTTTAATGGTCCCTTTTAAGGAAATTATGGGTCAAAATCGACAGGATTGAATGAAGGAAAAACTGCGCCATCTACACGTTCGTAATGGCGTTATCACAGTTTTGTCCTTCATAATCATTTTGCCTTCGGCGTAGACTAGAAGGGATGAGATTGACGGCAGCGAGAGTTTAACACGGCTTGCAAGATTTTCAACATGGATGTCGATTTTGACCCATAATTTCCTTAAAAGGGACCATTAAACGGATTATTTCCATCAAAATAGTAAGTGGAACCGATGTATTATAGCCTAGGCCTAATTTAAAATTGGATATGGACGAGGTAAAATGACATTTTGGGGGATTTTGGGGGCATAACAATACGGCCGTGGCAAGTTTGTCATGTTTGTGGGAGGGGCCTAGCGGCTAAAATCTAGCCGTGATATCTTCAACATAGGCTGGCATAGGCGATCGTTCTGTCTCTATAACCGGAGGTCTAGTGGAGCCAGACGTAGTCTCAGTGGAACAACCGACGATTATAGAGACTGAAGCTTTTGGTCTAGTACTCCCTTTGCAGATTTAACAATAATGTTACCGAATCGGCTTTTTTAGAAGCCCCCACAACAAGTTTTACCGAAGCTCCGACGCCTGCGGCGCCGGTGTTGGAGCTTCCCGGAGTTAATATTTTACATACAAATGTCCTATTCACTAACACTAGCCCCTAGGGATTAAGCAAATGGGGATTTCCAGTTCGGTGTTAGTGTTGTACCCGCACACAGTCAACGCACGAACGATGCCAATTTATTGTCTGACGATCAAATACAAATGTGTGAAACAGGTAATTCATATATTCTTTTGTGTAAAATTAGTTATTTTATAAGACCAGAGAAATAGGTGTAAATTTATTCTGTACTTTTCATGATATCTTTAGTTTTGATGTACTATTTTTAAATCATCGTCGTGAAATCCAGTATGTGGTGACGTCACGGCTGGTGTTAAGCTATCGATTTTGATATCGGTATCGGGCTCTTAATTTCATCAGCAAATTCTCCGCTCGATTTAAGAGCTCTTGACTGCTCTAAACACTAACACTAACACTAACACCAAACTTAAAATCACTCATTGTCTAGTCGATTTTGTCCATTCAATTTGAGACACTCATAGCCAGAGGCGTCGGTGTGTGGGGATGTTACAGCACCCCCCTCCCCCACTCAAAATTTCTGTCGACAAAAAAGGAAAGGAGAAAATAAAAAGGAGAAGGGAAAATGAGAAAGAGTGGAAAAGAGGAAGGAAAACAAAAATCCTTCCACTTTACTTTGTGTGTGGGTGTGTGTAATTGGGTTTTACAGACGTGTATTGATCAGATATGATTATTTATGCCTGGGGATCAACTTTTAACGTCACCATCCGAAAGAGGTGACTCAGTTTTGAACTTGCGTCCTCTGCTGAATCAGTTTGTAACTTCCGTTGTTAGCTGGATTACAGGCGCACTCCACAACGCCCCATTCTTTCCCTTCTTTCCCTTTTAGCTGACAGAGGGGAACAAAAATTTTTAGTAGAAAGAAAATGCAAGTGAAAGAGGGAGAGGGATATGAGATTAATGAGAGAGATACAACTTCAAAAGATGAGGAAAGAATTAGGACAAGGTCAAGGAAAAAGAAAGAAACAGGAGAAAAGAATAAGCAAGAGGATGGAGAGAAAATATGTTGAGAGGCAAAGGCCAATAAAGTGAAAGAAATAAGGATTACAAGGAAAAAACGCCGCCCAAGTAAAATCATTTTAGAAAAGTATCATCTCCAATACTTGGGCAGCACCATACTAGTGTACCAGGTTGGGAGGGGGGGGGGGGGTTTGGGGTAGCTGCCCAAAAAAATGAACAGAAGTTATAGAAAAATAAAAAAGAAAGACAATGAATGGGAAAAGGAAATCAGGAAGTTAAAAAAGAAAAAAAAAAACTGCCATTCAAGTTCTTTTGACTTTTGTAAGCATTCCATTCGTTCTATGTAATTCAATTTATTAAAGAAATAAAGTCCATGCAATCTTTAAAGTTAGTATAGAAAAAGAAAGAGTTTTATGATTATGGAAGAACATCTATAGAAAGATCTAACTGCTAAATTTTCTTGATATCTCCTCTCCAGTAAACCTTAAACTCATAAGCCAACCAGCCCCCTTTTAAGCTTTTGCAATATCATGAAAAATACTTACATCACTTAGGGAAGATATTAGGGTATTGTACAAACAAACAAACAATATAGTATATATGGGAACATGATAACTTGGGGTAAAGCAGCATTTTTCAACCGGGGTGCCACTAGAGAAAATAAATAGAAATCCAATTTGAATAAATGTCAATTTTATGAAAACCCTTTGTATTTATTCCATTCGGAAATAACATTTTAAAGACAGTTAAATGTTTTTTCTTAACTTGCTTCACTCGGTCGCAACATTTAGAAACAGGATGATTTTAGACAGTGAAGTGCATGAATACCTCCATATTTGGGCAACGAGGTGCCAGAAGTGCTTGAAGACACTTACAGTGAAAAAAATACACGGGGGCTCGAGGCGATTCAGCCCCCGAAATGCCCAAAAGAGCCCCCGAAAATCAGAAAAGAGCCCCATAAATTTGCATAGAGTTCAATGCAAAACAAATTTTAGACTGTTCTTTTCATGCAGGCAATCTTGAAAAGTAGCCCCCCCCAAAATTAATATTAATTTTTCCCCTGGACACTTATATATATTTTTTGGATTGGGGTGACATAAAACTTTAATGTATAAAAGGTACCCTGGAGTAAAAAACAAACAAGGAAAAAATAATCAATGCGCTGTTTGCTTATAGTGTGCATTATTCAGGGAATAATTTCCAGCCAAAAATTTGCATAGCAAATCTGCTACACAAAATAATTTTTGCATAGCAGTTGGATGAACTTGTATAGCAATTTTTTTTTCATGTTATAAATTACAGTGCAAAAACAATGACGTCACAACATCTGGTCATGAATGCATACTTACTACATTTTATGTTATGTACATTGATTCTGGTGTAACTGTGGACTCACCTTTAGTCATCAAGTGGATATGGCCGCTTGTTGCTACCTTGGTATAGGTAGGGTTGCACATTTGGTTTGCGAGGTGTACAGAAGAAATTCTTAACAGCACATTGTGGATTAAAATCAGTGGAAGATGGTCCCTCGATGCTGATCCTCATGAGATGATCTAGAGTGCGAGCATTTAGTCTACATCTCCAGTCTGTCTTAATTCGGCGCATTGTACTAAATCCCCTCTCCACCTTGGCATTACTGATGGGAAAGGTGAGTAAGACCCTGATGAGAAGACCAAGGTTGGGGTACTTGCTTGTTGAAACCTTGACAAATGCTCTCCAAACATCAGAGCTTTGCAAGTCCATCAGACTTGAATTCCAGTATGACTTGAAGGAGTTCCATTCCATCTGGATGGACTCTGGCTGGACTTCCTGGAGCAACCCCTTGAAATGCTCAAACACTGTGTTAAGCTCCTTGTGACCAAACTGGTCAAGAGAAGGCTTGTCCCTTGGCCAGGCATTAGTGTCCAACACCTTGAATGCTTGGAAAAGCTGTGAATTAAAGTCAGAGAATCTTGCATCGACACACTCTCTGATCTTCTTAACATATATCTTTCTAGAGTTCTGAAAAGCAGTGAAAACATCGCTTCTCACGTTGATCAGCCTGACATTCTTGTATTCCACTTCGGCCTTGCCATCTTGAAAGGTGATGTCATGGAGGAACTTTGACAGTTCTGAGGCATCCTCTATGTCCTCGTGCTCTGATTCAAGGCTTTGCATGGAAGTGTGGAATGACTCGAGACTTGCCATGGCAAACATAAGGTCCACTGACTCTCCCTGGAGATTGCAGGAAAGGGCTGCCAAAGGCTGCAACATAACATAGAATAGCAGACAGTGCATCACAAACTTGAAGCTAGTCAAGACCTGCAGGTATCCACGAAATCTAGCGCCATCTGCTGCTGACGATTCACTGGCCATAGATTCAAGATGTGCAATGATGACTGGATATGACCGCAGAAGGGTGGCAAGTGCCCTGGACTTGTGCTGTAGCCATCTTGTCCCATGAGCCTTCTCTGGCTTAGTTACAACTTCCTCCATGACTTCTCCCAGAGTCCTTAACTCTCGCAGGCGTTTTGGGCTCTTCTGGTATACATAATACATGGACAGAAGCATTTCACTGATCTCATCCATGTACGTTTTCTCAAAGGCATTTTTTGCTGCCAGTTCCAATCTGTGATTCAGACAGTGCATTCCAATTAACCAGGGCATTTCATGATCTTTCCGTAGAAGAGCAATCAGACCTTTATTTACTCCCATGTTCACTGCAGCACCATCAGCACAAACGCAGACTAACTTTCCTTTCAGTGACATATCTGCATCAGCGAATATTTCATCCAGCCCATCTTTCAAGCCTTGTGCTGTAGCATGCTTAACATCAGTAATACAAAAGAAGTTTGACTGGACCTCACCAGTTTTATCATTCACAAAATGAACATACACAAGTTCTTGCTCCTTAACACTGGCATCTGTAGAACCATCAACCATGATGGAAAAATACTGGGCTTCCTTCAAAGCAGTGAGCATTTCACTCTTCATTGTATCACCGATGACACCAATAAACTCACTGCACTTTGCTTCATGTGTGTATGTGTTGCCTAATGGAACTCCATGTTTCTTCTCTAACTCGACGAAAACAGGGTACTTGGTAAAAGGCAGTTCTTCTTTTGCGATAGCATATGCAATGTCAAAGAGTTTACTTACTCGTTTCTCTTCCTCACTTGATGCTCCAGCTAACGCTTTCCCTATAGGCGTTGTCTTGAAGATTGCATCGAGCGTCAGTTTAGGCCTTGAAGAAAGAGCAATTGCTTTCTTATGCATTTCACTGCGAGAATGTTTCACAACATTGTCCTTTTTCAGGGCCGACCCCGTAACTCCATTGATAAATGCCTGGTTGAAATTACGTAGCGATCTCAGTTTCGCTTGATGTGCTACACACATCTTGCACCTAATGCAGTTTAATCTCCCAGCACTTTCTTCGTACTCGATCCATTCCCTTTTCTGGTCTAAATCCTTAATCCAACCTTCCACAGTAACTACACGAATTGACACCATGTTTTGAAAATGACAAAAATATCGGTCCAACAATAAATCCAGAGACGAGTCGAGTCTTAAATCCAAATAAATCCAGTAACTTTGAATCGTATCGAGGGTAAACAACAACACGTAGTATTAGCTCGCACATGAGCGCGATTGAGCCTGCCCTGGATATATAATTAGTTCACCACGTGCGTGCATTGTTGTCTGCATCGCAACAACACTCACGGCTAAAAGGTGACCGTAGACACTCATCGCCGATAGTGCGCCATGTAGGTGTGTGTAGCTTCACGGTTAGAAAGTGACTGTAGTACGCTAATATCGTTCAGTGCATGCAGGCTGCGCTGGCCTAGCCTGCTGTACATGCAATGTGTGGATTGGCGGTCTGTGTGTGAGTACAGTACACAGCTCGTGCATTGTTGATGCATGCACTGCATTGTATGTACATGTAGTTTGTGGATTGGCGGTCTGTGTATATGAATGTACGTTTCGCTTGCATCGCAGCAATTGCGATTCATGAAAAAAGATGCGTCGCAAATGGCTGAAAATACATCGCGAATTGCGATGCGATACCGGGAAAATTATTCCCTGTTATTGTATATATAGCTGAAAAGAAAGTAAGTCCAACCTGTGTTAGTGACCATCTGTACAAAGACCACTTTTTTTGTTTCCCTTGAAAATAGATTCTCATTGAAACATGTACTAAAGGAACCCATACTTAAAGGCCACCTGCCTATAAAGACCACTTTTCTTGTCTCCCTTGGGTAGTCTTTATAGACAGGTTTCACTGCATTACGCTTGCAGGCCTCACTTTTGCAAGTTTTGGAATTTGGAAGGAAATTGTTAATCATGAGTACAAAATGAGCCTGATGTCAAAATGATGCAAGATGAAACAAATGCTTTTTAATACAGGAAGTCACAATTTGGTATGAAAACCAAATTAGTGCCAGAATCTATTAAAAATGAAGCTAGCTCTTAATGAACACTTCCCTTACTTATTTTTGGTTGGGTCGAAATTAAGCCTTCCAATTTAGTCACAATGACCGGGCTAGTTGCAATTATGGAACAGACCTCAGAAACAATAGGGGTATGTACACGGCAAGCATAATCCTCAGATTTTCTCACATCCAGAGTTTTTTCAGAAGTAACTTAGCAAGTACCCGCTACCCATAAACACAACAAAAAACCTGCATCGGGAAACCCCCCTCTGGACTGTGATTTTTTAACCCCAACTGAAAATCCGCCAATTTTTGCATTGTAAACGCTTGTTCACAGGTGAATTTTTCTGGTTGTTGGTCATGTGACTCCTCATTTCCAAACTATCGCATAATAATAGTCCGTTCTTGTATAGCGCATAATACGTAGTCTCTATGCGATACTCACATTTAAACAAAACACAGGGTTGGCAAACACCAACTTCTTTTAATGGGTTTTTCTGGTAGTGAAAATGGTACATGTAGTTAGAAAAAGCTATGGTTTTTCATATTGGTTTGTCTGCAATGTGAATAAGCTAACATGGGAAATGACCCTTTCATTATTGGCTTGTGAACTAGCTCAAGGATGATATGTAATCCTACCCCATGCTCCCCCTCCCCTTCCCCCAACTCAATCTATTTCCTATCCACCTCAGAGTGACAATTTGTGTGGGAAGCTCCTTCCCCCCCCCCCCCTTATTGTTTCACTTTCTTTTTTGGGGGGGGGAAGGGGGGGAGGGGCCCGTGTTGTTTTTAATGATTCTTTGATCTCTGAAATTAGTGTTAATGGCATACATGTTTGACATATTTTAACATTCATTGGTTGTGTAAAGGTAAGTTACATTGGAGTTGGGCGTGACAAACAAAATGGGTTCCTTGTGAGCCTAGTTATATGTAAGCACGTATGGGCATGTTGAGTAGTGTGCTCACAAGTAGCTTATATGTGAATTTTAAAAGCGTGCATACATTTAAACTTGCAAATCTCTTTTCAGATGTAATAATTGAAGCTTGTATTTTAATGTAGTACTACCTCTTGGAACTACTACCATACAAAATAAATTAGTTTTGGTGATTGGTACGCTTTTACTTGTATATTTTCACACAGTAGCCTGTATACATTTAAAGATAAAGTTGAGTTCTGGTCATGCGATTGCATTGTGAAAGAAAAGGTGTGGAATAGATCAGAAAAAGTTGATCATGTAGCATGTAAGTATTGGTGTGTACTGCAAGGTTCTGGGGTCATCAAAATCATAACAAATTTGGCCCAGTCTTGGTAAAGTTACAAGCACTGTACACAGAAACATGAATATGGGACTACACGACACGTGCGCGATGCGTGCACAATATCTATCAGGTCCAAATTAAGGCTGCGACGGGTAGTCGAATGCTCGAGTACCCGCACGGTTGACAACTACTCGGGTACGATTTCTTGTACCCGAATATTCGGCCGCAAAAAAAAAAAAAATTAAAAAAAAAAAAAAATTAAATAAAAAAATGTCCAGGCCGACGCTTACCGGTACCCGTGCCAGGGAGAGCGGCGTCCGCTGGCATGGTACCGTCGGTAAAAATGTTTCCCAACTCAAGCACTGTCAAACTCACCTTTCAGAAACTGGGACCAAATGTCCAGATTTCTGTTTGGACTTGGAGGAAAATGGATTATTCTGCCATCTTTGGTTTTTAAAACAGCATTGTTTACTGTTATTATTCTTATTAAATCGGCGCCTTCAACTGCAACTCAAAAGTAAAGTTGCATACGTTTTCAGTGAGGGACCTGAGAAACTGCCGAGTGGTATGGTAGTGGCAAAAAAAGAAAAAAAAGAAAAAAAATCCAAAAATCCAAAAAATTTAAAAAATTCAAAAAAATTCAAAAAAATTCAAAAAAATTCAAAAAAATTATAAAAAAACATGGCGTCCGATTATTAGAGTATTCGCCTGTGAGCCTGGGAGTGTACTCGGGTACCTCATTACACTGTTGTGCACAGCCCTAGTCCAAATAGATATAATAATTTACCAAATAAATCAATTAGTAGGCGGTTTCTCTGCAAAATTTGAATCATCAAGTATTAGTCAAAACATATTCTTTCACATGATTGGTACATGTAATAAGAGCTTCCATTTCATTTTTGAGAGGGGGGGGGGGGGGGTTTCCAAAACTGATCTTTACCTTTAATCCACCTTGTAGAACGTGGAGGTGTGCTAGACAGTGCAATGCCTTATATGGAAGGTGGATCTTCAGTGTGGTGACTTCAATCAAGCTGTAGCAGCTGTCTGAGGAGAACTAGAGCATGTTGTAATAGATCAGTTCACGTTTGGCACATTTCCCAAATGACCCCGAATATCCACAGATCTTCAAAACATGAAGAGGTCCCACTTTGTTCATTTTGAAATTATCACTCCTACAGTGATGGAGGTGCTACATAAATAGCCTTTGTTTCTCCCTTTTCAAAGAATACTTCCACCTGTGTATCATGGAGTGCAATGCTTGTGCATAAATGAATAATGATTACATAACTTTCATGAGCACGTATCCAGTATTTTGTCTCTGTGTATTTCACAATTTGGTCTGCGATGACCTTTATCTGCTGATGCTCAGACTGCAACTATGAACTGGCTTATCGTAACCGTTTGCAAATGACATTCATGTACTTAAAAGGTACAATGATATATATATTATTTTTTTTTTTGGGGGGGGGGGGGGAGGGGAGTTAGGGGGTTGGGACTTAAGTGCTAAATCAATGCATAGATAAAAAGATTTAACAAAGAAATAGCTTACAGAGAATTCAGTTTTTCTGGGGGAAAAGGATATGAAGTCTTTTGAAAAAATTACAGAGAGTATGTTATTTAAACTTTTATTTTAGAGTGGTTGCAAATAATGAGGTTAGAGCTGCTTCTCTGTAATTTAAGTATGGTAAGTACAATGCAAGCATGCAAACAGTAATTTTGCTCTTTTCGGTAATAAAACAAAAATATTCTTGTCAAAAAGTTCATAGAAAATAATTGTTGAGAAATTACTTGCACAAAAGGGCTTTAACTTCAGCGCAGTTTTAGAGGTTGTGAGTGCGTGTTTGCAATGTTAACCTGACGTCACGATGACTAAAATATTCATGTCCAACAGTCCAAGGCAGTGCGCACAGTACAGACAAAACTGATACACGTATGCACATACTTATGTGGCAACTGTCAACCAATCACAAGATAGCATTTGCGTAGTTCATTGCACTATTCTAGCCCTGATCTGTATGTTTAATCAGTGCCCTTGAACATGGATTCAACATTTGATTGAATACCCCCCCCCCCCCCCCCCCCCCAAAAAAAAAAAAAAAAAAAAAAAAAAAAAAGAAAAAAAAAAAAAAAAAAAAAAAAAGTGCGCTCTCAAGTTCCAGACAGACACATTATTGACTATTTTTGCCTGGATGATGCTGTACTTTCCCTGAGAGGAAGGCCTTTCTGAATCACTGTTTCAGGCTTTCAGCCTTGTTCACTGGTACCCTTGGGGAGGACTTAAAGACAAGATCGCATGTTTACATTGCACTTAGTGGAATTACCTGTCGCTCTGTACTCTTACCAATATTGCATGTAGCGAATCTTATGTCTAGAAAGTGTTGACTACCAGACAGTTCTTTGAGTCACTTGTGTAGTGCTAACTTGTCCCTTTGTCATAGACCTAAAGGCATTGTTTAACCATGCCAAATCTGAGATGCATGGCTGTACGTGTTATCAGCGTCTGTGACAAAAATTGTGCTTCAAAATGATCATGAAGTGCCTCAAAAAAGTAAAAAAATCTTTGAATAACCGGTTGTACCATAATCGCTTTCCCCTATAGACTGTAGTATTATAAAATAGGAAAGCGGTTTTTGAAATTTCTAATTCCAATCATAAATATCTTGATAATCAGACGGGCGATCGGCTTGAAAAAGTCATTGGGTTCCT